CCCCCCACCCACGCTTGCACCGGTGCAGACTCCGATCCTCTGAGCCGCAAGGTCAGCAGACCTGGAAAAAGGTGCAGCAGGTGAGCTGGGATGGGACTGTTGAACATTTTTTGCCCTTTTTGCGTTTCACGATGTTCATTCTCAGGTCGGCTGCGCGCGGAACCGTGCCGGCCCAAGTTCCCTCCGGACTTCATCCATCTGTTCAATTGGAGTTTGCGCCTTTCCCTTCTTGAACTTCCGCTTCCCATTTGCCGCATGGGAGCCCAGGAATTCATCCATGATGCTGTCGAAATCGGACCGTAGCTGAGGGACATCTCCGGATGCTTCACTGATTTTTGAGAGGCCGGACATCCTTGACATGCCAGACATGCCAGACATGCCAGACATACCGGTCATGCCGGAGACCATGGAACCGGTATCATCCATGTCATCCTCTCCTGTATATTCTGCCTCAAGCTTCTCAAAGCGCCGATCAAGCAGAGTGAGTTGATCGGTACGCATAAGTGATGATGAAGTCATGCTGTATGCGGATGTGGAAGTCAACGCGCCCTTTCGCTTCTTCTTACGGCCTGCGGGCAACGACGCCAATGCGCTGTCAACCGCGGATTGTGCGGATTGTGCAACCGATGGCGAGGCCGTCTTGGTCTCCTTCTTGAACTTGCGAAACTCCGCCATCCAGTCGTGCCCAGCGGGCTCTCGTACAGCCTCAGGTTGATCATCGGGTCCGCCGATGGCTGGGGTGGCTCGCGAGGGAGCAGGATTTTCGGCCTTTATGGTATCGTCACTCTCCCAACCGTCGTCGTCTTCCGCTGTCGCCTCCCAGTCATCCTTGTCCATAACCTCGCCGTTCTCTGCGAGTTCCTTGAATATGTCCTCATCATCATCCACAAACGCATCATCCTCCAATGCCTCCAACACCTCTCTCAAGCGAGGATCCATATCGGGTTGGAATCCTGCAATGGCATCGGGAATATTCTGCTGGTCCTGATACGTCCGCTTTAGAACGAATTCCGAAGGTAGCATTTCATCCCCAATCAGCGACCTAGCACTCTCACTAGCAAAGCTCGCGCCGCTCTCACTCCTCATGTCTGACCCGGCCTCGCTCCGCAGAGCATCTTCCAACTTGACTTTTGTCTTGCCCTTATTCTGCGTATTCGGGGTCGCGTCAACCCAAACCGCGCCGTCCCCCGATCCAAACTCCCGCAGATGTTGCATGTAGTCGTATTGGGTGTCATCGTAGTAGATTCCGTGGTTCGCCGCCTCTCCTTCGTTTTTCCGGATCTTCAGGCCGAACTCCTCCTCGAGGTTGCCGAGTTCTTTGACTTTCTTGTCCCGTTTCCCGGAGAGCTCCTTGAACACCATGGATGGGGCGTCTTCATCGTGAATAAGAGGATCATTTTGGGCTCGGTGAACGAGCTGGAAGGTGGTTGCGCTCTTCTTGTCACTGTTGAGAAGCGGGTGAGTATTCGCCTTGGAGCCGACATATAAGGACGATGACCTACAATTTGCGTCGAGGCATCTTGGAAAACCTTGAGAGATCTGACTTGAGTGCTTGGTGTGATCTCTTTAGAGAATAGTGAAATCAATCAAGATTTCGAGCGGTTTAGACTTTAGAGGCCTTTAACTTTTGAGGGGTCAAAGGAATGTGGGATGGAACAGTTTTGTCACTGGGAAATCTGTGGGCAGGCGGTTCTGGCCATGACAGCCTGACTGCCTGACTGCCTGACTGCCTCTGCCTGTGCAGCTGCTGACTGCCTCTGCTGACTGCCTGGATTTTCTAGCAGTCCCTCAAAAGGCAGTCCGTATCACGTGATCGACTCCCAGTGCATCCTCTTATCGGTAATATAAAAACAATTTCTTGCTCGCTATGTACCTTCCAATAGTGATTCCAACCCAGATTTCATCTCATCTTCATCCTAACCCTCCGATATCCGTACTTGCGTATCGCCTAGTTGGCAACTTCCTGGGAGGAAACGTCACCAAAACGGATACGATTTCATATGAACGGACTGAGCAACACAGACTATCGATATAAGTCATGGAAGTATGAGCGACCGTGACACATATACCTGAAATACTGTGCGTCAGAAAGATGGTTCCACGTCGTAATCACAGAGAGTCGCCCTCCAAAATCCAAACTCCACTCTTTGGCTACCCGTGACCGACCGTATCTAGTATGCAGGCACGAAATAGATAGGATGGCCATAGTGAAGTAAGGAGGAGCGGACTAACCTTAAACCGGCCGAACCTTGGTACAGGGCATGGCTACGTACATACTACATAGTAAGTGGTAATACCCCGCCGTGTAGGACAAGGTATGGTATATCAATCAATCAATCAATCCACGCACGCTACCTCTTGTCAGTTGCCACGCTCTAGTATCTACTGTATCCATCATCACTCCTATTGGGAATTTGCAAATCTATCCGCATGTCGACCGTACCGATCATTGATTTTGGCCCCTTCCTCACTGGATCTATTGGCGATCGCAAACGAACTGCGTCTGAAGTGGACGAAGCATTGAGAACAATCGGCTGCTTCAATCTTCGGAACCATGGCATTCCTCAGAGTCAGGTTGATGAATGTTTCTCTTGGGTGAGTCTACTACTTCCCTATATCCAAGCCTTCTTACAGAAATAAAAGAGCCGACAGCTCTTCAGCCTCTCACAACACGAGAAAGAGACTCTCAGTCCCAAGCCTCAATCATTCGAACAAGGTTACTTTGGCATGGAGAGCGAGAGGGTCCGCGGACGACCATCCGTGAAAGAGAATTTCGATTTTGGCAATCTAAAAGGCAAGCCATTGGGTCCATGGCCTGATCAGCTGCAAGGATTTCGTGGTTTTGCTACGGACTTTCATCAGAACTGCTCTAGGCTGATGAACCAACTGCTGGAATGTATGTCGATTGCGCTAGGGCCGAAAGAATCGCTCGGCCCATACCATACCGGCTCTATGTTCACATCAAGCCTGATTCATTACCCTGCCGTATCCGCACGACTGATTCAATCGGGTGAGGTTGTTCGGAGCCCAGCCCACTCCGATTTTGGCACCTTGACGCTTCTCTTTCAACGCGATGTTGGCGGTCTTCAAGTCGCAGATATGAGTTCGACAGACAAGTTATCCAGTGCTGCGGTCGAGCGTACCGGGACGTTCTTGGATGTTGAACCGAATCCTGAAACCATTCTGATTAATGTAGGCTACTTGCTGATGCGGTGGACCAATGGACGGTGGAAAAACTCGGTGCATAAGGTAGTGGGACCACCTTCAAGCAGGACAAGCACAGAAACTGTTGGAGACCAGGAGTTGATTCCTGAAAGATATAGCATTGCTTTCTTTGGCTTCCCTGACGCGGAAACAAATGTTGAGTCCTTTGAAAGCTGCTACAGCGACCAAAATCCAAAGAGATGGAGTCCTTTAAATGCAGGCACCTACCTTCGTAAAAAAAGGGAGGACGTGTATTCTTAGAGTTGATGCGCATCTTTTCATCAGGAGTACAGAGGGTGAACTAGCCATCCAGTCCTTGACCGTATCTCTGACGTAACCTTACAATTCGGTTGTATGTGCAGCATCTCCCCAATCCTGATTCCCGCCGGACCCAGTGCATCCTGTCATCACTATCACACTCCTTTCAATCAAGCTATTGCCTCTTCTTGGGGATATCCGCCACAGTGTATTAGAGTGGCATCATTTAGAATATACGGAGTAAGCCTATCTACAATTCTTCTTCCTATTCTCCTCAGCTAATCATTAACGGACAAAAGTTCCCGAACTCACTAGATTCTATCCTTAACACTCGCGAGATAATTCCAGCCATTTCGTCCGAATACCCGGAAAGTTATCCGTAATAGGGTATGGGAGGAATGATATATCCCGACTTTTCTATGCCACTGCTTCGGCACTTCAACCAACACGACTATGTCTGGAAACTCGTCGCTCGTGATGAGACTCCGAGTTCGACGGGAGACCGGCTTGGCTCGGCCATATATATTTCCACTAGCGCGGCAGTATAGAAAGGTTGCTTCGGCTTGTCCCCGTTCACCATGGCCTGCTCATGCATTGCAGTGTTCAGATCCCGCTCCTTTCTCGCAGGTCTTTTCCGTATCAAGACCACTCCAAGGATGGTGAGACAGATCAAAGCCGTTGCCCCTAACACTCCTCCGACAATCGCGCCGATATTGAGTGAGGAGCCGTTGGCGGTTTCTGTCTGTGTAGGGGAGGAGGGTACCACTGGCGCGACTGACGTGGGCGCTGAACTGGTCGAGTCCAAAGTCGTTAAAGTAGAACTGGCTGCGCTCAAAGCGGTGGTGGATGAGGCGGAGGAAGATTGAGAATCGGTAGCAGTTGCACTTAAAGACTTCGGTAGCGCATAGTACGTCGCTCCTGGGGAGTCGCCGCATCCCACGTAGCTATACTGATCCGAGCCTAGGTAAAGAATGTCGGTCGAGAAACACTATAGGTTCCCCCGCTGCTGAATTCAGTCCCGTTGTCTTAGTAAACGGTATTCACTGGTACTGACCATGATATCGCAGATATTCCCTTGATACTGGCCGGCCTTCCACACCCTGAAACGCAAGAAAAGACATCTGTGCAACGGCCGCGGCCCTCCCGCACCACACTAGAGTCACCCCCCCAACCCACGAGCCGAGCCTACGGTCATGTGGAGACCAAGACTGAGGCTCGCGGTCGTGCTTGTTCTCCTCCTCCTCCTCCTCATAACGTATTCCATCCTCAATTTCAGGCATGATGCGCCGCTCAAGGCCCTTGGCCAAAAGACACAGTCCCTTTGGACATATTGGTGGTCTCCAGCAGGTTAGTTCCCAACGAAACACCGAACAGAGTGGGATGCTGATTGTTTGTTCCACCCCTTCAGAACCCGAAGATCATAAAACTTTCTTATAACCCTTCCCAACGCAGGGTCATAGAGATCATAATGCTACCCTCCTCAGGCTAGCTCCCGACTATGTCGATGCAATCATGAAACTTCCAGCGAGCACTTGCCTCGACTACACTGTCCTCCAGCGCCCAGCAGTCGCTATGGTTACCTTCGTGAACCATCTCGAAGCGCGACGGGGGAATTGTTGCCCAAGTACCTTTTTGCTTTAGATATTTATCAAAGTGCCCCGGTCCTTTCCAGTCTCTTCGGTTCGATCGTTGAGAGCATCCGGTACTTAGGACCCGAGAACTGCGCCCTTTCGGTGGTGGAGGGCCGATCAACCGACGGCACTTTCGAGATTCTGTCGTCGCTCCAGCCAGTGCTGGAGGGGATCGGCTTGAAATACTACTTCCAAACCAGCGATATCGATCCTAGCAGCGATCGCATCCAGGCATTAGCGGCGCTTCGCAATCTCGCAATCGAGCCGTACACCGCCGCCCCCAATACGTTCTCCGAGTCGTCCACGATCATCTTCATCAATGATATCGTCCTCTGCGGCGAAGATACCCTCGAGGTGATCCATCAACGCCAATATCAAGGCGCCCATATGGCCTGCGCGATGGATTGGGTCTACGTTGGAAACGACCCGACCTTCTACGATATCTGGATTGCGCGCGGCATGACTGGCGACTCATTCTTTAATATCCCCGAGGACGGAAGCTGGAATTATGCGTGGAACCTCTTCTGGAATGACCCCGAGGCTCGGTCAAGCTTACATGCGGGACTGCCGTTCCAAGTATTCTCCTGCTGGAATGGCATCGTTGCCTTTAACAGTCAGCCAGTCTTCGAGAAGAAAGTCGGTTTCCGGTCTGTAAACGATAAGGAGTGCTTCCAAGGGGAACCCAAGCTCTTCTGCAAAGATCTGTGGCACCGTGGATATGGCAAGATTGCCGTTGTTCCCAGCGTGAATGTTGGGTATTCTGTGGAAGAAGCGCAAAAGCTGAAGAAGCTTAAAGGGTATGTCTCTAATCGGCTATCCTCAGGAGAGCAAGAGAGGCAGATTGCATGGAAAGGTGAGCCACCAGATTTTGTCAAATGTATGCCAGGATATGAGCACCAATCGTTTGTTCCATGGAATGAAGGACTTTCGGTATAGATTGTCATGGTTCAAAACTGCAGTTTGTGTTGATACCTGGGGAGGAGGTTAATGGCATCTAGTATTATCTCTGTCGCGTTCCTGGAATTCATCAGTCAGGCTTTACGTTTCCTAAACCGCGACGCGTTCCCACCAACGCGAGAGATGGTTTCATAGATGATAGAACACGTCGTAGCAAGGCCCTAAGGCTCTTGTAAAGAATTAATCAACTCCATGCTTTTCAATGCCGTCCCCAAGGGCTGTGAATAAGGCGTGATTCTCATTCATGGCCTAGTCTGGCGGTTTATCTCGATCGGCCCAACTGGGCTGGATCTTCTTACAAACCTGCACGTAATCCTGCCAACGCTCCCGAGGCGACCGCTTTCTCCACCCAGCCTCTTCAACATTGTCTTTCTGCCCCTCGGTGAGATGTCCCGTCCAGAACATCGTCCAGCCTTCGTCCCGATACTTCGTTGCTGGAGGAGCGGATGCCACCGCGGTTCGATCGCCGCCATCCCCTACTTCCGTATTCTCCGCCTCTGCTGCAATGGGGATCTTCCAAACTCCCATGGCGCGCTCGAAGTACCATTTGTTGACCGGATTCGTCCGACGACTCCTCCACACCACGCCGCCAGGGAAGCAGTCCCGTACCATTGCATTGAATAGGATATCCGCGACGCCGCCGGCGCCTTGACTCCGCTTCAACACCGCGAACTTGTCAAGGTAGGGAACTGGCGGGATGTTGCTGTCTCCAGGACACGGTTCCTCCCAGGTGAGAATCGCGCCGCCTTCGTATTCTCCAGCAACGATGACTCCTGCTATTCTCCCTTTGATGCGATCCAAATAGTGCTTGGCGTCGAGCGGACGGCTGAAGCTGTCCTCGATGAGATATTTAAGTCGTGCTAGGTCGATGCGAGGATCGTCTTTTAAACTTAGGGTCGTGCCTTCGAGGCCTGGAGGCCTCCATGGTTCGTCCAAGGGATCAGGGATGATCGTAACCGGCACTCCTTTCTTCAAGAATGTTGCCGGCACGGGATTCAAAGCAGATGTCGATGACGTGCTATGCGAATCCGGCAGCCGGGCATGTGGCAAGGATGCTGAGAGCACTGGCTTATCTGTGAGTAGATTGTGAATGAGTGGGTTACGCAGTCGCCGAGTCCGAACCCCGCCGCTTTCGGATTTCTCGATGAACGGTTTCGCGGAGGCGGCTACTTCTAATGGAGAGACGATCAACGCTGACGACGTTGGGGGAAGGAAAGAGAGCGCGGAGTGGACTAGGTCGAGGTTCTTGGCGTGATGCGATAGGACTCTGGAAGGAGTCGGAATTTCAGGTCGCATGCCGGGACTTGGGTCCCGGATTGCCGTATCATACTCGAGAAACCGAGTAAACGGATTGCTGAACCCGAATACCGTGCCATGCTGCTTCTTAGCCTCATCAATAGATAGACTTTCCTCAGAATTCTCCGAGCCCGCACGTAAAGCGCGGCGAATAATCTCGTATTCCTGCGCAAGATTGATGAAGATATGCGGCTGCTCCTCTTTTCGGATGGCGGGTATGCCGCCCAGTGGGTCGAGCACGATGATACGATCGAGCGACATCACGGAGCTGGACTCTCGCCCCTGTCGAAGATAATCGTCCTCGGCGGTCGGCTGGTCGATACCGGCAAACCGTCTCGCCAACGCAAGGACCACGCTGTTTGGTTCGACGCGGCGGGCGTGATACGGATCTCCGCTCCAGGCTAGGGGGATGATGACTGGCAAGGTTCCCTCGCGGAGAGCATTGAGCAAGAACCGGGAATACTTGACGTATATATCTCCTCGAACAGGTGCGGACTGCGGGATCGGTTCCGTGGGCGAGGTGCGCACCCCCATGACCTCGTCAATGACAAATGATGGCCTTTCATGTTTCTGAATCGCATTCGCGATGCGATACCCCTGCTCCAGTTCCAGTTGACGCCATTTGGCGAAACTGAGCTCCCCTCCGGCAATCTGATCGCAGTCCACAACGACGGCGCTGTACATCCCTAGCCTCGCTAACTGCGAGATTGTCCGTCCGATCCCGTCGACAGCCTCATCGTCGAGGAGCTGCGGGCAGAAGACCTTCACAATGGAGATATGAAGAGGACCTGGCTCGGACGCCGGAGAAATTCTGTCGGGTAGCTGTGTCTGTTGGGAGAAGACAGGGCTGGATGCAATAGCTCTCGCTGAGCCGAATAGCTCGCCGAGGTTCACACCGCTCTTCTTCAGCCGTGCACGACGTTCTTGCTCCAGATTGTCACCCGTGCTGGATTTGTCGCCCTTCTTAGAGCCATCGTCGTTAAAACGTGAGAGGAACCCTTTTGCGTCTCGTTTCGTGGCCGTCGAGCTAAGGACGGAATAGAAGAACTCTCGGTCACGCCAGTTTTCCGCGTTCAGATTCTTGCTCTTGCTCGGGCTGTTATGAGCCGAGGAGAATGAAAAGCCGCATCTTTGAGCCAATTGAGCCGATCTGGAGCTCGGAAGGTCGCTATGAGATATCGTCTGCTGTCAATTCCTATGGTCAGAAATAATCAAACTGTGAACTTGGGTAGCTCCCCGCTTACCTTTGGTGATGTCAAAACGCGGCTTGAATGCTGAATTGGCCGCCATGGAGTCATCCTCCTTGCGTACCACGTATTCCCGAAGCCCATAGAGGGGCATCTTGCGATTTCTAGGATTTTGAAGAGAGAGGAGCTCAAAGACACGATGGAAGTCCTGGTCGAGTCATGGTGGGTGCGTCATTTTTGTCTGTGCTTGAGTTCCATTATTGCCGTTATCGATAAGAAATCATCCAATCTCATGAAACTTGAATGGATGAGCTTATTATCCACGCTATCATTGCTTATGGTCACATAGGACGTCATTACTTGAATAGGCTATTTAGGACTATTGTTTCTCAAAATCGTATCAATACATTAAGCTCCCCCCCTACGCGGAGAAAGAATCGACACCCCCAAGCCACTGTGGTTTCGGAAGGGTGGGAGGTGGATCAACGTTTCTCGCCCCGGAGGCGATTTCGTACTGTTTTGACCGTCCGAGACACCCTCCATTGGGGTTGGTCGCCAGCATTTCAGCCACTCCCGGAGCGCGTTTGTAAAGTGTCCTCTGCTGACATCACTGTCGGGGACGCTAGGTATCCGGAGATCATAGCAGTGTTGAGCGTTCTTCAACACCATTCCAAACACCGGCCCTCCTTCCCCTGTGCTCTCTCCACACTTGGGTATCGCTTGCGTGCTGTTAAATCCGGGAGAGAACCATTCGCCGCTCAACGGCGATAATGTCCGCCAGGGGTCAAACTCGCCGTCTGTCCAGTAAACATTTGATGGGCGGGTGCTCCAGCCTCCGAAATGCCGGTTTGCTCTCTCCATGTTTGGCCATTCCGGTAACAGGCCGTTCTTATATCCTTCAGGGAACTGTCGGTTGCAGATGTCTTGCTGGTGCTTCAGGTCATTCCAGCTACTGACCAGTTGGTTGGGTCCGTAGTTGGCGTATTGCAAGAAGCCCCATTCCGAGCAGTACTGCCATACCCAGCTGATGTAGTTTGGCTCTGGGAATGGCAGGTTCAGATCACAGTCTGGAGTTGTCTCGGAAGAATTGCGCACGCCTTCGCACTCGGTGTAGAGGTTGATGTTCACGACGTCTTTGAAGTTGGCCCACTTGCTCCAGCGGTCGACTGTGAATTGGGGGCCTTTGGTCGCTGCCCAACCCCGTGCTGGTGCGGTCTGGTTTGTGGCAGGATCTGTGGAGATCCAATTGCAGAAGCTTCGTAGGCTATAAGGACCGCCTTCAACACCATAGGACTGCCAAAGGGCGAAAACTGAATCTCATGTCAGCGTTTGCCTATATAATTCACAGAAGATGGCTCACTGCTTGTTAATGCATCAGCAAATGCCGCATTGGTGTTGTTCGCTGCACGCCGACCAAGAAAGTCCTCCTTCAGGGTGCTTGATTTCGCCGGATCTACCATGATTCGATCCATGTAGCGAATAGCGGCATGGATGTCCTCCGTACAATTGCCCCAGCCGTACTTCCGCATACCTCGTGCCACAGTGTCGAAGTAGTAGTTCATAACGACCGAAGCCTGGACCGGTGCAGAGGATGCATAACTGGCGAAGATAGTCTCCGGATAGAATTTTCGCATGAAAACCGCTCGCATTCCTGGATATGACCCGCCCAAAAAGATCCAGGGGGTCCCTTTCGGTGTGAGGTCAACATCCGGGAAGTTCGGCCTAGAAAAGGAGGACGCGAATTCCTTAACATCGGCTAACGCTTGCTCCGTAGTCAAGTATTTGAACGCTTCGGGGGGAGTATCCAAACCAATTTTTACAGGAAGAGATCTTCCGTAGTACCGGTGTTCCCAGACAATTCCAATTCCACCAAATTCATCAACCAGTTGTTTGAAGAACGACGTAGAGCCGGTCAGTCGAAACATGGCGCCGGTTTCTGCGTCAGATTCTCCATTGTCGTAGATGAAAACGGGTCCCCCAGGCTTATATCCAGACTCAGCAACCCAGAATCGGTTCCGAAACGTTTGTTTGCCCTGGATGGTGCCATTCCCAAAATGATCCAGAGTGAGGGCTACCGATTCTTCCTCGATGTCCTCCTCGGAGTCGGTCGATGACTGCCTTCTGCCAACATCCGGATTGGGTTGATGGATCGGGTTTCCAATGGAATTCAGGCCCATCTCGGCCAGGAGCTCGTATTTGGCGGCATTGACGCTGATGCCGATAGCATTAACTAATGATGAGAAGGATACCAAGAGGAATAACAGGCTGATGAAGGGCCGCTGTCTAAGCGAATGTAACATGATTCAAGAAAGAGGCGATGCCAGCGAAGCAGCTATTAAGGCTTGTTCCGGGCCATTGGCCTCGAGGTAGTAGAACTGACGACAAGGTACGAACTTTGAAGAAACGATTCAGGGCATCAGCGGTCCATATGAGCTGTGAGCAATAGTAGCGTGACTCTCATATTGACAAACTCTAGGCAGCAAGGAAGAAGGAGTGTGGATTGAAAGTCCTGAGACGTTTGCGATAGGAAATGTAAGGTCCCGCAAACGGGTCCACGGTCGTCTTAACTGTCATACAAGGGACCGATGTCCAAATTGCAGCATGATCAAACGACATTAAAATGCCTTGTCGGGCTTGTCGAAAGATCTGATACCCAGGGAGGAAGGACTTACATCGTTTGGACTGTCTGGCAGGACCGATGAGTCCCCTGAAGGCCAAGTCACTTTCTACATTGAACGAGCCTTTCCTCAGGCCAAACAGCATGAAATCTCCGCCATCGCGGACGAACACAAGCCGCTTGGCCGGTGAGCCTGGGCCTTAGAGACCAGGAGATAAATTAATAGATAGCCCTGAGAACAATGGCTCGCCCGTGCCGAATACCGGGCAGACGATGTACGAGATTGATATCATATGAAATCCATATTAAGAATGATGGCTAAGCATCAGCGCGACTGCGCTATATCGTTTGGTCTGACGAAATTCGTGGCATCCTGGGCTGTTCGATCCGCCCAGACCAATTCGTTTGAAACGCTTCGGAGGTCCACCGTCCGCCGCAGGAATCCTTCTCTCTGCAACCATTATTGGTTATATATAGGAGTTCTTCATCATTATCGATGTTCTGCTTGTTCAATTCCTCAGTTATACGACACCGCCGCCGTAGATTAATTCGTGATTGCATCAGGTGGACTCCTGGGATGTTTGAGCCTCAAGCCCTCGAAGTCCCTTCACCTGTTCAGAACCTATTTTTATGGGCAATCAAAGAATGAAAATGAGCTCTCTTTACCGTCACATCCACAGAGATCGCTCTATCGACCGAATCTGAAAGTCTCGAGTTGCATCGACTTTCGTTCATCTCCTCAGTTGTGCTGAGGATAGAATCTGAAGTCTGTAGCGCGGCGTCTAGGTGTGAACATCATGTGGCGCAGTCAACCATACCCACTCCAGCCACATATCAACACGGATCTATCCATCTTCAGTTCGTTCATGTTTGGTACATCCTGATAAGGAATCTGATTCCATTACCATGCGTGACAAGCAGAGTCTATTACATCCAAGGCTGAAATGAGATTGTTAAGCTGAACCTCCAGTTCCTTTAGAACCAGACTCCTTGATTTTGCGTGCGAGAGTAATGAGCAGTTCAGGCGATGCCATGCAGATGGCGGGACCGTACCTCCGCCAGGGTCGTAGCTTGAGCGATAAAACCTCCAACTCTCTGGACATACTTTCGATATGTCTCGACTTGAATTATTGAATGCGCGTCTGTATGTTGACATGTTGTTCATTGTTGAGGAGGACGGTAAGCCCTGCTGAGCAGATCACCAATATAAGCCTCGGCTGATTGGACACCCGGTTGCGGTCAACATGCGGGCATGGCAGTGTAACCTGTGTAAGGTACTCCGTACATGTCGATGGGTTGGGAATAGCTTTTGGCCGTTGTGATGGCTTCATTTTGCAATATTCCCTTAATTTAAAGAAACCTAGATACTTCAGCGTCCAGAATAATTGCTCGTGCAATCAGCGCATTATTTCCCCGGCCTCCTAGTACCGGTAACCTAATACCCGGTCCTACCCTGACCCCACAACTCAGCATTCGCCTGTCACCCCAATATCTGAATCCACCGATCCAAATGGAAGACGAAGCCAAGTTCGCCTCCATACCATGGGTATCCAAACTGATTCAAGACCCTCAATGGGTCTCCGTAACCACCCCATCCCGCATCCCCAAACCCACCGGCGAAGATTCATTTTTCGCGAAGCTTTTAAACTCACCCACCACAATCCCCGGGTACCTGTCACAATACCGACGGCCTGATACGGCCATCGCGCACGGGGCGCCGATTTCGAACGACGGGAGCAAACATGAACCCGCGCAGATCAGCGAAGTGCGCACGTTCGTCACCCTGATGAAGGACCTGGCGGGTCACCCTAATCTCACGCATGGCGGCATCATTGCATCGGTGTTCGACGAAGTCATGGGCGTGATGATCATGATCCGGCTTCAAGGCGGAAAACCTGAGCACATGGATGTGGGTGGAGGGGGGCTTTTCACGGCGTATATGAACGTGCAATATCTGCGACCGGTCCCGCTCGGGGGCGCGGTGATGGTGGTGGCGTGGGTGAAGAAGGTGACGGAAGGGAGGAAGTTTTGGATCGAGTCGGAGATGCGGGATGAGGCGGGGACGGTGTTGGCGACGGGCGAGACGCTTTACGTGAAGGCGAAGGCGAAGGCGAAGATGTGAAAGATCGCGGTCGGTCGAAATATACTTGCACCACGACACGGGCGGCATCATGAAGCATTAAAACCTGTGAATCGGGATCCTTTTTGGATGGATAGACAATATACAGGGGATATCGACAAATCAATCATCTCCAGAGAGCTGGATATGCTCGTTCTAGATAATCTCGTTGCGCCTCCCATGCTAGCCAGTCCGAGCGTGTCGTCCTATCCAATGTTAGTGAATCGTCCCGACTATCATATTGATACACATACGGCAATAAACCCATCGCGTTGACTTTGTAGATTCCCAGACCCATCAGCAGGATATTCATCAGCACATAGACGATCTTAACCAGCAGCAACCGCGACTTGGTGCCTTCGGTTTCGAATCGTTGGAAGGCGCCTTGGACATTCATTATGGACTGGATCGGCGTTTTGAACAGCATAAACACCATCATGATGGAGAAGATCTGGAGTGAGTTGCCGCTCATGTACATGCCTGCGCAAGTTAGAAGGATCCTTCTCTGTATAAGAATAGAGGTATACGATAGGAGTTTATACGTACCGATTGCATTCATGGGTATCTGCTTCGCCGGTCCCAGAGCAATCTCCCATGCCTTCTTCACTTTCAATGTGTCCATCTCCTCCGTTGTAGGTGCTTTTCGGGGAGTGGCTTGCTTGGACGAGGCGGTTTTCTAGGTCAATATCAGCTACGGCGTTCAAGGGTTCATGCGCTGTGAAGGGCATTACCTTGCTCCCGCCCGAAGCAGAGAACCCCGGGGGATCCGGTATATTGGCAGTTTTCGGTTTTGATCCTGGCGTAGAGTTCATGTCAAGAACCCATTGGGGGGGCGGAGGGGGAAGAGGGTTTGGGCCCTGTGATGCCATCTTGATAGACTAGGGGTAGTCTGGTTGAAGTCGTCCTATCTGGATGGGATGGATGACGGATGAATTCGAAGAGCTGGAGCAAAGAAGCGTAGCAGCTAACCACCGAACTGGAAGTATTTGTGACGTGAGACTTGCGAATGAGTGGATGAAGTATGATTTATGAAGCTACTGGAACATGATGGTGGTGTCTATGGAGCTAACTTAACAATTCCGTCGTCCGCAGTGGAACCCAACGGAGGGACGAATAATAAGACGATCCCTGTTCGGTCTGGACAAACGTTCAACTTCCGCCATTCCGTGATCTGTCGACTGTATTTAGTACTGTGAACTGTCGAGGTGTTCGATATTCTCATGACAAGATTAATGTTTGATGAGTGCCACCCCGCATCGCCACTCCAGACCTCCCTGATGATTCCCGTTGATCTGTGAAACCTCACCACACCAAGCGACCGCGGCTAGTTAGGGCTGGAGTAGCGAATACGTGACAAAGGAGGAGGGGAAGCTGGCCGCCCTGGAGGGCACATGCACCATCGCTTCAGGCAAGCAAGATGAGTACCGGTGGGCAAGATGCGAAGTTGTTCTCGAAGGTACGTTCTGCGATTCACCTCGTCTCATTTCACCTTCACTCTCTGCCATCGTCGCCCGTCCATCGAGTGCCATTCCGGCGCATTGCGGCTCGTCGCAATCCACCATGCCACCATGACTGCCTTCATGTACATGTCCATGTGGGATGTTCCACGCTTACAATCTCCTCAAACTCCACAGGGCAAGGTTGCGGAACTTCGACTCGAACTCAATGGCGGCGGGAAGAAGGACAAGAACTTCTCCCAGAAGAAGATCGCTCTGAAGAAGATCGTCGCGAACCTGGCCTGGGCGAACAATGAGATGCTGGGCCTGTTTCCGGACATCGTCGAGTGCATGTCAATACCGAGTTTGGAGGTCAAGAAGATGTCAGTGTTGCGCTGGTCCGAGAAGTGGTCGGAAGTTGACCGAACGCAGGTGTTTCGTCTATCTCGTCACGTATGCGAAACTTAAACCGGACATCGCTCTGAAAGCGCTGCCGATTCTCCTGAATGTGAGACCTCGAACACAGCTTTTGAGAGACGGTTACTGAGACGGCCTAAATAGGACCTACAAGATAGCAACCCCCTTATGCGAGCATTGGCCCTCCGAACGATATCATACGTCCATGTCCGAGAATTCGTGGAGAAAACGGTGCCTCCTCTCAAAGGGCTCCTCAAAGATGCGGATCCATATGTCCGCAAAACAGCCGCGATATGTGTCGCCAAGCTGTACGACCACAATCGACATCTGGTGGAGACAACGGATCTGATCGATCGTCTGAACGCCATGCTGCGCGACGAGAACCCAACGGTTGTCTCGAATGCGCTCGCAGCGTTGATGGATATCTGGGGGCGGAGCGAGTCCATAAAGCTCACGATTGACTATGCCAGCGCTTCGAAGATCATTCAAATCCTACCGGACTGCTCAGAGTAAGCATTTCTCTATTGAGTATTATACGCTTCTAACTCTGTATAGATGGGGGCAAACATACATCCTGGAAGCCATGATGAATTATGTCCCCCAGGATTCGTCTGAGGCGAGCCTACTGGCGGAACGGATAGCACAGCGGCTGGCCCATTCGAACTCCGCCGTCGTGCTAACCTGCATACGAGTCATACTCTACCTCATGAACTACATTGCTGATCAAAAAGTGGTGGCATCACTATGCGTGAAGCTCTCGCCGCCGCTCGTCACTCTCCTTTCCAAAGGACCCGAAATCCAATACCTAGCGTTACGAAACGCCTTATTAATACTCCAGAGACGGCCGGAGATCCTGCGAAACGATATCCGGGTCTTCTTCTGTAAATATAACGATCCAATTTACGTTAAAGTGACGAAGTTGGAATTGATTTTCATGCTGGCCACGAAGGACAACATCAAGGAAGTGTTGACGGAGTTGCGAGAGTAAGTTTTCCGGAGCACATGAAGTTCGGATTTAACCATGGTCTAGATATGCCACAGAAATTGATGTCGACTTCGTTCGAAAATCCGTCCGAGCCATTGGGAAGTTGGCGATCAAGATCGAGTCGGCTGCCAAAGAATGCATCAACACGCTATTGGACTTGGTTGCGACGAAGGTTTCCTACATCGTGCAGGAAGCGACGGTGGTGATCAGAAACATCTTCCGCAAATATCCCGATCAGTACGAATCCATCATCGGCACGCTCTGCGAGAACCTCGACAGTCTCGATGAGCCCGAAGCCAAAGCGGCCATGATCTGGATCATCGGGCAATACGCCGACCGCATCGACAACTCCGACACCCTCCTCGAGGACTTCCTCTTCACGTTCGCCGACGAGCCCCACGAAGTGCAACTCGCCCTCCTCACCGCGACCGTCAAGCTCTTCATCCAACGCCCCACCAAAGGCCAAGACCTCGTCCCCAACGTCCTCCGCTGGGCCACTGAAGAAACCGACAATCCCGACCTCCGCGACCGCGGCTACATGTACTGGCGCCTCCTCAGCTCCGACCCCACCGCCGCCAAGCGCATCATCATGGGCGAGAAACCCCCCATCACTGCCGAGTCCGAGCGCCTCGACCCCGCCACCCTCGAGGAGATGTGCCTCAACGTCGGCACCCTCGCCACCATCTACCTCAAGCCCGTCCACACCGTCTTCCGTAGCGCGCGGCCCCGCCGCTTGCAGGATAGCCCCGCCCTCCAGAAAGACCGCCTCCCGACCCACCAGGCGATCGCGCGCCGGCAGCAGTTGGCGGTCGACACCGCGGGCGCGATGGCGGCGAGTCCCGCGGCGACGTCCGCGTCCGCGTCACCGCAACCGCAATCCAACGGCTCGCCGGCCGCGGAAGGCAACATGTCGGCGGCGGTGGACGCGGCGGACCTGTATTTCTCGGGACTGGGCAGCCAGCAGCTGGCGAGCATGCGGGTCAGCGAGAATGAGTTCGGGGGCAGTCCGGTGGGTCCAAATGCGGGAGGGCAGAACATGTACGTGGTGAATCAGAATCAGCCGCAGGGGGTATATCAGCCGGTGAATGGTGGGGGGGAGAATGGGGACTTGTTGATGCTTTAGGGGGGTTGGTGGTTGGGGGTGGGGTTGGGGTAGACCTGTACATAGAATGAGCCGGTGGGTTGTGGAGGGAACCTATTTGGGGAAGATAATGTTCACGCGGACGAGGCTTGTGTGAAGATGTGGCTGGTTGAGAGACGGTGACTACAGGACGGGACAGCGACCTTTGGTCTGGTTTATTGTGGGCCGTAAATCCAGAATGAAGCGTTTCTCTTGGACCGAACACAGGTACCGGAACAGTTAACAGATCAATACAACCACTATCACGACGCAACGGATGCAGAACTCGAGAGATTGACGGGTTGACATTTTCAGCGGTCTCTCATTGCAACACACCTCCACTGCTCGGATGCTCTCTATACTGGCCATACAACCCGGACGCCATTGACCGTCGCGAACGATGTGAAAAAAACACAGAAAGAAACACGCGACCGCTTCTGGCGAAAACACAAAAGAGAGGGAAGGGGAAGTAAATGCCATGGTTTCAAAGTGTTGCTGCGCCGTGTTGTGTCCCATCTTGTCCGGTCGTGAGGTTGAATGCAAAGAAGTATCGTCGTTCATTGGCCACATGTCTGTCTTCATCTTCATGTTTCGGTTCCGTCGCCACCGATCCACCACGGGTGGGTTGCGGATCAGACTTATCCGACGTTCTCGAACGACGGATCCTTCACGCTGCCGCCCGCATCGCCCAGACCCGCCACCGGGCGGTTGTACGACCAGCCGGCGAACTGCTGCTGCATGGTCTGCGAGAGCATCGGGCCGTCCACGTACGAGTCGGTGGGCGCTTCGCTGGTGAATTCGCAGTCGAAGTTCGCGGTGTCCAGCTGGTCGACCTGGGGTTACAAATTAGCACGAGGGGCCTCGTATGGAATAGATTTGAGGCGGCGCAACACATACCACGTTCGGCTTGAAGCTCGGCTCGTATTTCCGATCCAACAGCTTCCGCCAGTCAATGCTGTGGAAGAAATAATGCGCCTTGATCTCCGCGGCACCCTTGGCGCCCAGCCGCTTGTCGGCATTGCGGTCGAGGAGGCGGGTCAGAAGGTCGCGGGCGGCGGGGGGGACGATCTCCGGGCCGGGGAAGTGGAGCGGCTCGGTGAGGATCTTGCGGTACATTTCGTTGGTGTTTTCGTCGTAGAAGGGAGGGAGGCCCGTGAGCATCTCGTAGAGGAGGACGCCGAGGGTCCACCAGTCGATGGCTTTGGTGTAGCCGCCGCCGGTGAGGAGTTCGGGGGCGAGGTATTCGGGGGTACCGGCGAACGCTACGTATTGTTAGTGCTGCGGGGGATTGATGGCGATGAGGTCCTTACTGTTCGTCCTGTCCTCATCTTTCATATCTAGTTTGCAGAGACCGAAATCGCAAAGCGCAATGTGGCCAGTATAATCAAGCAGAATATTTTCAGGCTTCAAGTCTCGGTAGATGACGTTGAAGCCATGCAAACACTCCAGCGCGCACAGGATCTCGGCGGTATAGAAACGGGCTCGGTTGATGTCGAATCGCTGCTCTTTCTGTAGATGATGGAACAGCTCGCCGCCGTTCACGAAGGCGAGAACCAGATATAACTTTTCGGGCGATTGGAAGGAGAATTTCAGAGGTACAATGAAGGGGTTATTGATCTGGGCCAGGACCGATCGCTCAGCGAGGGTGTGGGCCACTTCGGATCGGGAGATAATGTGCGCCTTCCGCAGGGTCTTCAACGCATAGATCCGATGGGTATCTTTCTTCCTGCGAAGGATTAGCTCCAGGCATAAACATGGCAGGACCGAACGTACCTAACTTGCATGACCTTCCCAAAACTACCTTTACCGACAACCTTGAGCAGTTCAAAGTCTTCGATTTTGAGTGACCGTTGCCGGTTCTCCACGAACTCGACCCCGACCTTAATCGCTCCGGTTCCATATTGGACCTCAACCCAATCAGTCCCCGTCTGACCGAGTGCACGCTCGTCCGTCTTGTCCTTATCCTTTTTACTCTTCAGATCCTCATGTCCATAGACCTCCTCAAACCGGGGATTCACCCTCGCGGTACCAATGAAGATGTCCTCGCTCCGTCCCGCGTTCGGCGACGCACTAGGGTTCCGGACGTATAACGACAACGACAGATCGCAAATGCGAGAAACGTCGAACTTGTACTGCGTGCTGCCCCCCGCCCAGAGCGGGTTCTGCGGCGTTCCGGAGACGGCGTTGACGAAGATCTGTTGCTTGTCGAAGTCCACAATGGCGTACGGCAGGTACTTGGAGGAGTAGCGGCCATGGACGGTGGGAGCGGAGTTGATCCCCGCGGCCGACTGCGGTCGCGCGGAGGGGACGTAGGAGCCAATGGCACCGGGTTGTTGTCGGGAGGACGAGTTCGGTCGCATCGAGCCAGCGACGGACAAGGCGCTGCCTTGGGAAAGCGAACTGGGATGGTGGGAGGCATTGGTGAAGAGGTTCTCGGCTCCTGGGGGTAGGGAGAAGCTTTTGCCTTCATGAAGTGTGACGATAAGGATTCCGGGGAGTAGTGGAGGAGGGGGAAGGTGTGCGTTTGCTTCTGATGCGGCTATGACGAGTTAGGACTGACCAACAGGCTGTGACGGGAGGATAGGATACGTACCTATGCCATTGGGGTCCTTTGGCTCTATGGTCGGTGTTGTCGCGGGGCTTCCGGTCGGTTTTGGGGGGTCATTAACAATGGTTGAGGTTGAGGAGGACCGGCTAAAGGTGTTCGCGAGGGGTGCGAGATGGGTCTCTTTAAGCTCTGTCGATCCGTCAGCGCCTGCAAAACGGGTGTGCAGTCCATGAAGCATACTCTTCGTTAATTTCCACGACATGATGACCGAGTTACAGGCAGGTGATGTAAGGGGGAGAAGTGGGAGAAGATGCGAAGATGGTGGAGCCGAAGGACGGTGAGAGTGGTTCGGCTAACGAGTGGGAGTGATAGTGGGAGATGAGCGGAGAGGAGGGTTGATAAGAGCACGAAGAAGTGGCAACGTTGGGGACGACGAAGAGGCAGAAGAGCACCCGGACAACATGAATGGAACACTGAATAGGGGAGAGGAGAAGGGGGTGGAAACTGGCGTCGCAGGATAATATTGAGGGGGCTATGCACAGCACAATGCCTGGGAGGAGGAGGAGAGGAGCAGTTTGAGTGGCAGTTCAGTGGCAGTTGCTCACGTAAAACTGGTTCCCGACATCACACAGTGGATGCACACAGCGGATAACAGCGGACACCCACATGACACAATAGAGGGGGGTGGAGAGGAGATGCCGGGTGGAGCGGATGGCTGGTGGTGACGAGAGTCACGTGCGAGGGCATGTCACATGAACGTGAATCTCGGTCTGGAGCTGCACCTGATGGATAGATAGATCTCTAAGTGTATGCCTTGTAGCCTTGTAGCCTTGTAGCCTTGTAGCCTTATCAGTATGATTCGTGATTGATCCGGCAACGCAGTCGGCCAGCCTGCATATCAATCCTCAACTTCCATGAGGTTGCGCTTCGAGCCTTAACACCGGGCTCACTTCGATACCCCATTCATGCGCAATCACTCGATGAAGCCTCTCCTGCTCATCCAAGCAGTTCCCAAACCCTTAACCCTCTTGCGACCATGAATTAGCTCTCCAACATCTCCGTACACCTGCGAAGCCCATCTCCCCGCTTCGCATCAAGTGAATCTCGACTCCGATCCGACTCTACTCCAACCTCCATATCCCCGTTGAAGCTACCAGGATGGGTGTGATCAAGAAGAAGACTGCAGTTCGCGGGACTGAAGGCGGTGTGAAGTACGTCTGCGATGTTTGCTCCTCCGACATCACCTCAACAGTAAGCTACCCCCCCAGCCTTCATCGCCATGCCAGCATTGAGACTGATATTCCCTACCCTTCAGGTCCGAATACAATGCGCTGTGTGTCACGATTACGATTTATGCGTTCCATGCTTCTCCCAGGGAAAATCCACCCGCGACCATGACCCTTCCACACACTCATATCGTGTCATCGAGCAGCACTCGATACCCATTTTCACCGATGATTGGGGGGCAGATGAAGAGATGTTGCTCCTGGAAGGCGCGGAAACGTATGGCTTAGGGTCATGGGCCGATATCGCCGACCATATCGGTGGATATCGATTCAAAGATGAAGTTCGAGACCACTACATTAGCACCTACATCGATTCCCCGAATTTCCCACTCCCGTTGCATGCAAGTCCCGAGGATAACGAGCTCACGAATGGGATTCCACGGGAAGAGTTTCAGGCACGCAAGAAACGGCGCATCGAGGAACGGAAAGAAGCGGCCAAGAACGCCCCACCTGCAACGCCGAAACAGAAACCAACCGCCAGTGTCCCGGCCTGCCATGAAGTTCAAGGGTATATGCCCGGACGACTCGAGTTCGAAACCGAATATTTCAACGAAGCCGAAGAAGCCGTCCAACATATGCAGTTCGACCCCGGTGACGGGATCAATCCTCGCACGGGGGAGCTGGAGCCGGAAATGGAACTCAAGATGACCATTATGGACATCTACAACTCCCGACTGACGGCGCGTATCGAGCGCAAAAAGATCATCTTCGAGCACCGCCTCCTCGAATACCGCAAAAACGCCGCCCTCGACAAGAAGCGCACCAAGGAAGAAAAAGACCTCCTCGCCAAAGCCAAGCCCTTCGCCCGCATCATGACCCACGACGACTTCGACGAGTTCAGCAAGGGCCTCGAATACGAACACAACCTCCGCATCGCCATCCAGCAGCTCCAGGAATGGCGCCGCATGCAAATCGCCACCCTCAAGTCCGGCGAGAAATACGAGCTCGAAAAACAGCACCGCGCCTCTCGCGGCCCCGCCCCCTCCGCCTTCGATCGCATGGGCGTTTCCCGCATCAAGTCCGCCGTCCCCCCCGAAACCGCCTCCGGCGCCGTGGCCCTCATCGCCCCCGAGCTGCCCATCCGTCTACAGAAGAACCTCGCCTCCACCACCGACGCCTCTGCCCCGAAACCCGTCAACGGCACCCACGCCCTCCCCAATGGCACGACCCCCCCCTTCCCCCCGCCGGCATTCAAGCGCGATAAATTCTCCGTCCCCCCGCTCCCCAATCAATCCCCGCTGCGGTTCAACAACGAGGCCGTCCCCGACCTACATCTCCTGACGCCGGAGGAGCGTGAGGTGTGCAGCGTGCTGCGGATCCAGCCCAAACCGTACGTGGTGATCAAGGAGTCGGCGATGCGGGAGTCAGCGAAGAGCGGAGGAGGCTTAAAGCGGAAGGCGTTACGGGATATCTGCCGTCTGGACGTGAATAAGAGTAATCGGCTGTTTGACTTCTTCGTGCATAGTGGGTGGGTCGCGAAGGGGTGACCGGGGGAGTTGGATTGGGGTGAGCATTCGGGAGTTCTGATTGGGATGGCGTTCTTGAGCGGGCGATGAGCTTGCTGGGTTGATGGATTGGCGGGTTCGTTGGACTTTGCGCTTTTGGTACCCCCTGGCGACATTGGGATGATCTGTAGAAATGGTTCAGACGAGAATACCTTAGGTAGGAAGCCGGTGGCAGTGCCATCCGGGTAGGGTACATCAAGAATTTATTAACAAGTCACATTCAGATCCCATCGTTTTTCGATGGCTTTGCAGATCGTACAGTGAATTTGCGCTATCATTCGTTCTCGGACGAGGATCTGCTCTGGACTACACATCGAAAACGCCTAAAACACCAGTGCTACGCTAATCAATACACATCGTGGCCATATGGACCGTCGACTCTAAAACTCGGGACATCCGCGTAGCTTGGCTCTCAATCGTCAATGAGGCCCAGGATCTCCACATCCTCCACTTTCCCCTTCCCCTTCTTCTTCTTCCCTTCAGCCTTCCTCCCCCGTCTCGGCGGTTCCATACCCCCCTCATCCACCGGCCCCCCTTCTCCCTCCGCCCCGTCCACCCCTTTCCGCCTCACAATCCCCACCGTCCTCGACCGATCCTTATCCGCCAGCGCCAGCATCCTCGCCCGCTCCTCGTCAATCTCCCGCTGCACCTCCGCCGGATCCACGAACTCGACCTCCTCCTGCCCCGTCTTCTCGCGATACTCGTCGAAGGAGAAGGGGATCGAGTGGGAGATGAGGCACGCGCGCACCCGGTCCGGCTCGATGCGCTCTTCGCGGACAAATTTGGATTTCACCTCGCGCCGCGTCCGCCCCGGGAGCATCTGGCTGAGCATGAGGAAATCCGTGCCGACCATCCGCAGCGCCTCGTAGAACTCGTCCGTTTGCTCCCCCGTCCACTTTCGGTTGCCCTTGTACGACACCCGGTCCGCCGGATCCCGTCGATTCTGATTAATCCACGACGACCGGTTCACGAAATTCGTCAGGTCATCTTCCTCCACCGCCTCCAGCGCCTGCTCCTCCATCTCCGCGTCCGCGTGCCGGTTGACCGCCTGCACCGTGTCATTGTTAACGATGATCATCTCTCCGTTGACGATGCGCGTCTCCATCCCGCTCTCCCCCGCCGCCGGTCGCCGGATCGCCCGCTCGGCCGCCTCGTCGTGCGGTTGCCCCGCCGCGAGGTCCAGCTCGCGTCGCCGTCGCTTGACTTCCGCCCAGTCGATCTTGCGCATCGCCTTCTCGCGCTCGGAGACTTGGCCCTGCGGCAGGTCGCGGCAGAGGTCGGACATGGCGACCATGTTGGGAACGATGGTGACGAGCTCGGAGTCGACGTCGGGTTCTTTAGGGGCGGTGCGTTTACGGCCGCGGCGTTTCTTGGGTTGTGGCGCGGCATCTTCCGCTTCCCCTTCGTCTTCCACGCCCGGGGATCCGTCGTCTTCCCCCATCAACTCATCGTGACTGCGCTTGTTCGCGGATGAACTTGCTTCGGGGAGTGGTTGAGGTTGATTTCGTGCGTGGCGTGTCGCTCGAGTTTCCAGCGGCACGGCATCGACTCGTTCTTTCCCTTTCTGTGAGGGACCTCTTCGAGATGTGGGTATCTTGACGGATTCGTGGACGTACAGAACGCTGGTGGCTTGGGCGGCCATGGTGGGGTCCCCACGCGACATTTGGACGTGTATACTTCTCGCAGATAGCCGGTGCGTGTGTGTGGTTTATGTCATAACTTATGAGAGAATCTCGTTTCATATGCCGTGCTTCACAACCGCAGTTTGATTGTAGATAGACACATTTGTGTAGATTGTGGGGGTTGAATTGGTGACTGGAATTGTGGTGGAAATGAAGAAAGTTAGAGAGTGCCATAGTGGATCAAGTCGCCCGCTAGAGATCGACGCAGTTGCCACGTGATCTGACCATCATGTGATTTAAGACCTAACAGTCATGTGACTCTCTGGTCCGTGCTCGTCCCGTGGTGCGTAAGGGGAACTTGGAACTTCAAGTCTTCAACTGAGAAACCCTTCACTTCCATTTTCTCACTGTGTCGTTCATTCCCTCTTCCCCTCATCCCCCATTTTCCCTTTCACCGTGTTCCGAGTCGGACTCTGCGCATGTGTTGCCGTCCCTTGCTCATCTGGCGGCCTCACCATCGTTGTCCGCGCTCATGACCGACGTGCAAAGAGTTCAACCTCCAAATTTCGGCCTCGTCATGAAAATGGAGGACCGCAAGAGACCCTCCGCCTCCGATCCCGATGATGCCGCGCCTCCTGCGAAACGGCCGGCGTTGGCTCTCAATGGTTCCAAGGGAGAGGCCACGTATGACAATGCCTGGGACTTCATGCAACAGACACTTCCGGTACGTCCAAGATTGTGCTAACGCCACTTCGCCATTCCATCGGTTCGGATGGTATGCACGTTACGACCTGAAACGCTGACTGACATAGGAATTCCAAAAAGATGCCATTCTACGGCAGATGCGGGAATACAAGCGCGAGAAGTCCTACTTAGAGAATCAATTGACGGATCTGGAGAAACGATGCACATATCACGATGATCACCTGCGCATCATTAACGCGTGGTTCTCTCAGGTGCGTATCAGCAAGTTCAAACTGTATTGGCAGAATTCTAACGTTCACTAGATGATTGATGAACTGCGGGTCGTCGTGCAAAATGCCCCCGCTCCCGAGTCTCCAGGTTCGTGCCTATCCAGATCTACAACTGCGTTTCACGGCTTACAAATTTGGCAGAATCTTCGGCTTTCCTCTCATCCCTCATGTTCGCCGACAATGAGAAGTTCGAAGACCATCTCTCTTCTCGGTCCGCCGAGATCAAAACATTGGTCTCCGCGTTAATTGGGAAAATGCCTCCAGCTGCACCCGAGGTTCGAAGTGTTCAAGAACAATTAACGAAGACTCTTGCGGCAGAGAAGGCGCATATTATGGAGCTGCAAGGTCTGGTTTCGGACAAGGAGCAACTTGCTCAGCGATTGGAGAGTGCATCGTATCGATACATGGTCGCCGAAAAGAAGTTGGACCGAGCAAAGAGCGCAGTGGTTGCCAAGATGGAATCCATGGGTATGCAGCCTGCGAAACCTACTGCCGATGACCCCAAAGGGACACCCGTTGACGAGGGAACGAATGGGATCCTTGAATCGAATGAGAACCTTGACATCGTCGAAACTGCCAAGAAAGAGGCCGAAGCCATTGCTGCAAAGAGAAAGGAACAGCTCGAGGAATTGGAAGTTGAGAACCGGAAATTGACCATCGATCTCACCACCATCAACCACCGACTTACCTGCCTCTCTGATGAGGATTATGCAAAGACCGAATTGTTTAAAACATTGAAATCTCAGCATGAAGATGTCATTAAGCGCATCAACAACCTGGAAGCTGTCAATGTCCAGCTGCGCGAAGAGGCACAACAACTACAAGCCGAAAGAACAAAGTACCGAATGCAAATCGATGAAGAGAGCAAGGTTGCTGTGAATGAGGCGGAAAGCCAACTGGCAAGAGCTGAAGCCGACCTCTCACGAATTCGAAACACGCGGGACGAGTTGGTATCGGAATTAGCTATTCAAAAAGCCAGTCTCGGCCAGCATAACCTCTCTGTTTCGGAATCAAAGGAGCTTGCAATGGCAAGTGAAAGCAGGGTCAAAGCTTTGGAATCCGAGGTTGAGCGGCTCAGGCTGCGTGTTGGGGAAATCACGGCGCAATCCGATTCGGCCATGGACCTTTCCGTTGAGGAACTCAAAGCGAAAGTTGCAACTCTCGAACGCGAGAATTCTCTGCTTAGCACCGAGGTGCCGTCGATGGAAGCCGCATGGAAGAAGGCTCAATCGATAGCCGCGAAGAAAGTCTCAGATCTTGCGCAGACCGAGAACGATATCGCGAAGCTTGCCGCGGAGAAAGTCAAAGCCGATCAGAAGTACTTCACTGCGATGAAAGCGAAAGAGGCTCGGGAAGCCGAGATCCGCAGCCTTCGGCTTCAGAACGCCAAAAGCTCGGAGATCGTGGCTCAACTCAAGGAAGCAGAGAGCACCAGCCGTTCGCTCATTGCAAACCTCGAAGGGCAAGCCAGCGCGACTAGAGAAGTTCTCAACACCATCTCGACGCAGGAACGTGCGCTGCAGCAGCAGATCACGGAGCAGACGCTCCTCATTGAATCGCTTAACGGTCAGATTTCGACCTTGAAGCGAACCATTGAAACCAAGGATGTCGCAGCGCTGGATGCTGCCAAAGTCAAGAGACATCTCGAAGTCGAGCTCGAGCAAGCGAGAGTCCGGTTGAGCGACACCACGCGGTCTCTCGAAGACTGGAAGAAGAAAGCTCGCGGTGCGGAGAGCGAAGAAGAAGTAATGCTGAGGGTAAGTGGACATCCACATCGTTCTGTTTTTCACCACTGACAAATCCGTTAGCGCATTGCATATTGCGCGGTGTGTTCGAGAAACCTAAAGGATACCTTGATCAAGCCTTGCGGGCACGTTCTGTGCAAAGATTGCGTGGAGGAGCGCATTTCGTCTCGTTCCAGGAAATGCCCGAAATGCATGAAGCCGTTCGGTCTGAACGACCACCAAAAGATCATCTTGGACCATTAGATTGGTATACGATTAACAAAACGAGGAAGTCCCTCGTTTCTCCGGTGCTCCGCGGGTTTCCCGGTAACGTTTATTGGACATTCGATGCCGTACAAACCACAGGATGTCCGATTCTCTGGCGATCCTGGTCGGACTAAGATGTCAGTGTAAAGTCGAGTTCCCCGGCAGGATACCTTTACTAGGGGCCGGTTTGTTGGCTTGGGATTGTGCTGAGGGTCTCGGAATCGGTGTGCGTTTGTGGAAGCGATGGAACAGTCGGTTCTCTCACTTGTCTTAGCGGAAGCGTGATTTGGCTTTCGTTAGCTTGTTTCGCGTGCTCGGTGCTGTCGATATTAGACATCCCGAAGGGTGCGATTGCGATAGTGACTTGGAATTTTGTACAGTAGAGGTGGTCAGCGTCGACGTGTCTGAGAACAGTGGAATACTCTGGCCAATGTCCATACTTTTCATGCGTGAGTACTATAATTAGTGTAGTCCAGACAGCAACGCCGCTCCCTTGCAATGCAACGATAGGAGACAGATGTAACCGTGGAAACTGGAAGGTCACTGCCTTCGGTAATGTTGAAACTCGTAAGGATGATGCACGCAATTCGTTTGGCGGAATTCTGATATGGAGGAGAATCAAGATCAAACCCCAATCCCGGGTTAATAGTAACCTCTTAGGAAGTCCGCCAGCGAGTAAGAACCCTGCATCCAACCCAGGAGCCGTAATCGATAGAGCCGCCACATGACATGCTTCGGGAACGGGAATATGTTTGCATGCATCTTGACTCATGTTGATGCGTTGTCCCAGGCCCACGGTCAGCAGAAGTGCAAGGGAGCCAGGAATATTAGGACTGACCTGATTCGTACCGGACTTGTCAATAGCCAACATCAACTAGTAGTACAACATTAGTACATATTTATTCCGTACGTTCACTCAACTGCAGTCTCGTGAGATACGCGCCAAGCTACAACGGGAAATGTTCCGTGTCCGTTCCGCCAACGGGAAAGAGATCGATCATCGCTCCTGGGAATCAGGAATCTAGTGCCCCTGTCTCGGTGTGATCCGGACGGCAACTACGTCTGTTAGACAGTTCTCCGCCCATTGCCATTATGACGCAAGAACAGGATCTTCCACGTGCTATATCGGACAATGAAGAGGCGTTGTAATCCAACCCAAGGCTGGCTGACCCCTCCCTGACTCTCCAAAACTTGGAGGTCGGAGGGGAGGGATCACATGGATGATCTGCGACTCTTGCGCTACCGTATCCGCTCGTTGCGCGAAGTCCCTTTTGGTCCCCAGGTGCAGGATTTGGTAGGGAATTGCCTGCGAGCCATGCATCGAGCAATTAGCCACGAGCAAGATAGTCGGTCACATGGACTAGTTACTACCTCATACCTTGGAGATTGTCCCGTTTTCCGCTGGTCTCCATTACTCGATAGCGCGGAATCCCTCGAAATGGCGAGATGGCACTGCGTGGACCCCTTCCCAAGGCCATGATCTCGGGATAGATGTGAGGAAGGTAAGTATTCTGTTACGGCGGCCCTTGATCATATCAGGCCACTGGATTCTAATAAGGAACGTATTAGTTTTCATTGTTTCCATAACTTATGTCCGGCGAACTCTAACCAAGACGCTATAATGTCGTCAAGGAAAGTCAAAGAAACATTCAGCAATCAGCATCTCTTGATCGGGAGCCCTGGGAATAGGTAGGTATCCACAAAAGGATATCAACCCCCCTCAGTCCGGCGGTCTGGAGAATTGAGACAATAATAGCTTTCGTCATGCTGCCGCCGCCCGCCAGCGATGCGGCATCTGAGATGGTGCCGTTGGAGGATTCCCACGCTAGAGTTGTTTCCCTCCAATTGCCGTCGAAACCTCCACGGGCTAATTCAAGGTGGCAATGGAAGGGGCCGAACCGCATTGGACTGTGAGACAATGAGCACACAAACCACCATAGCAAATTACTCTGCAGACCCCGATTGACACCTTCAAGGGATGAAAGACAGAGGGATACCAAGAATGGCGCGACTGAAGTGTATGAAAACAATACTACCATTGAGCCACAACCCGAGCGCCTGCTTCCGGATTGTAGAAGTGACGGCTTGTTTCTAACGGAGCATGCTGACCGACATTTTCACCCGAACAGGGAGCTGAAGCGGAGCAGATGATGCTTGTTTAACGGCGGACCAATTGCAACACAGGTCCATGGCACAAATTCTATCATGATGGCGGGTCCGACCGTGGTATTCGACGTCGATTCGGAGTCGCACAATATTTCCTTTGTGAAACGTGACAGTCCCAACAGCATGGCACCCTCCCCTTGATGCCGTAACCGTTGCGTCTTCCGCTGCGAAGTTCATGCGGATGGTCTTGATGAAGTCTTTCATAGGTGGAAAGCGACCCATTCGTCCAGCCAGTTGGAGAAGAAAGCAAATATGAGAGAACCAGCAAGCCTAATCAGCCTGTTGCTCAACCCGAGTAGCATAAGTAGCATTGTTAAGACCTAAGACGGATTATGTAGGGGTACAAACGCTGGATTACAGTTATGGCATATGTAGCCTCGTGTCGCTGTCCGGAGTATCTGGTACACATATGTGCCCCAGGGTTTCGAAGGACCTGTACCCTTTGCTAACAGGGGTCTGACACGCCGAAAAAGACCTGAAGGCGGCAAATGTTAAGTCGCCGACTGACTTGGCGGCGTGGCCGGGAAAGCAGAGTACAAGTCATGCTGTGACTTGTGAGCCTTACAATTGTCTTCCTGCAATCTTCGTTCGCCCCTAGAGATACCGTTGACGGACACCATGCCAGACGTTCCAGGCGATGCTTTGGAGTTGGTGGAAATTCATGACCGATCTTTTCAGAAATGGTCGGTTGACCGTCGAGTTTATTGCGTACCCGTGGATGAGGTCAGTGTCCCCAGCCCCTGCGTTCCCGTGGCCGCCTCCGGGTGACACCGAAAACTCAAACCATCCTGACGGGTCTCCCAACAATATCTGTTCTCAGGGGCCGATGGGCATTTGAAATGCCAAATATGATGTTATGACTTAGATCTGACTCTAGACAGGTAGAAGAAGAGCGGTTGGGGACTCAACATGATCTGGTTACCGCGCAGTTCGGTTCCCTGTACATTGCACCAGTCCCAAATCCGTCTCGAGTCCTTGACTGCGGATACGGTCAAGGGAATTGGGCTGTGCGCATGGCAGAGTACTTCGAGGACAGTGAAGTGAGTTGAATATCGATTTCGCCACATCTCTTATCGCCGAATTGGTGGTTCCGTTTCGTAAAGGGCAGAGGGTCGCGAGTACCCCGAGCTTCTCCACGATCCAGCGACCGATTCTTCCAAAGATTCTGCCCCTTATTAGCGCAGCCTTGACGAACACGGATATGGACAGTGACTGATTGCATTAGGTGCATGGCATCGATATATACCCCATCTCCCTTCCAGACGAGCCGGAAAACCTTGAATTGTTTTGCGACGATCTCAATAGCCGCTTGACCGAGACATACCAACAGAATTACTATGACCTCATCCACTCGCGATTTGTGCAGTCCGGGATCAAGACACGACGTTGGCCAACGTACGCGAAAGACCTTGCCAGACTGACCAGACGTGGTGGCTACGTACAAATGGCCGAGTGGTACCTAAATTTTCAGTCAGATAGTGGGCGGTTGACCGAAAGTCATGCCCTCACACAATGGTATACACTGTATCAGGGGGCTTGCCAACAGATGAATAGAAATCCTCGGGTCGGCCGTGAGCTACGACGGTATCTCCAAGATGCTGGACTTCAGGATATTCATGACTTCTGTTACCGAGTTCCTATAGGAGCATGGTCAGCAGGTAAGAAGGCCAATATTTTCTTTGTCAATATAGAACCATGACGTGCTTGGTCTGTAGACTCATCGCAGTGGCCAGATAGATCGTGCTGCGGTGCACACAGAAAGGAGAGTTAACTAACGTCGCTTCATTCACAGAACCTGCTCTGCAAGAAATCGGCCGACAGGCCCTTGAGAACTTCATCCCTTTGCTGGAATCTCATGCAATATACCCGTTCACCACTTGCCACGGTTGGACTGCGGAACAAGTCCAATGGTTACGGCAACGGGCTGAACATGAAATGAATGATTTAACCTTGAAGATATATGTGCCATTGTAAGTGCTCTTGTTGGATGTCTCGGAACATTGCCTGACAGAATCGTAGATATGTTGCTTGGGGGAGGAGACCGTAGCAACCGGCAGTGGCGAAGGGGATTCCAGGAACACATGCTTGGGAACTCTGGACTACACCAAGCCGAATACGTACTCCAAGCGAGGAGATAACAAGGAAGGATTCAGAGTTTGTTGGTGGAGTGCGGTATAACCTGGTCGTTGCAGTGCGAAGGATATGCTCGATACATGAAGTGGACCAGGAGCTAATCGGCTGTATATCCTAGATGATAGAGCAGCCGCTTCGGTATTGTACCACACATCAGTGAGAATGCTGGTGTGTTCGGATGATGTTCCTCAGTAGTGTCTTGCATTCTGCGAAGTGTAAGTGGACGAAAGGTGGATAGTTTCAGCTTTTCCTTTACCATAGCAAGATACCACATTCATGTTTCTCTCTGTTTGAATGCCACCCAGTCCGCGTATAATATACGCCGTGGGAAGTGATGGCCGTCGTTGTTCTCAACGAACTCACTGCGTTCTTCATTTCTGTCCACATGTGCTTCTTTCTAGGCGTAATGCCGTGTTGAATGGGGTCGATGTTTGCGAGGGGAGAGAATGGCAACTTGCTCAGTCGCGGAGGTCGTCTTTGTCACTGAACTGCCGCTTTAGGCTGCAAAAGCACTAGACCTCCTATACGGGAAGTAGCTATGCCATGACTACTCGAGTTCTCAACGAACATGATAGCGCCTGCCCACTGAATAACACCAATGGTCTTGCGGCAGGGAAATGGATTTTCGGTCACCGCAAGGGATCTAGAACGAGGGAGAAGTTCCGCCTTCAGGCAGCGTACTTGGGGGACGAATCATTTCGCGTCATGATATCAAGGAATGCAGCTCAAATTCCATCGGAGAACCGTCGAAATTAGAGATGACAGTAAAGAGAAGGATTTATGAAGATGGATGTATTCCAAGAAGCTGAAAGGAAACCAAATGGTCTGTCCACCCTGATTGAGACTCGGATCCAAACTGTCGGAAACACACCAGTTTTGGGCTGTAGTGGACGGCAATCCAGATTCCAGACCATGTCATAATCCATCCTGCTTCCATGGTACACGGCGACCCAATATTACTATGAATCCGGTACGCGGCGCGAGCCGTCTTTCCAATTGACGAAGGTTTTGGGCAGTTTTCTGTTCGGTAATATAGAGAGGACGAATCGCTGCCCAGTATGAACCGCCTCCCGTACCGTGGGAGTGGTTGGACGAGGGCAAGTCTTGGATTACGAATTTCGAAATCGGACCGATCATACTGGTAAGTAATCTGAAGTTTCAGGGGTATATTTATGGCCTGTCATTCCGGAAAGCCGCCGTCAAACAAGCTACGCCTCCATTGTCATCAACTCCCCGACTTAGTCTTTGCTCTGTGGCTTTGGAGTGGCGATTTGCGAAAATCAGGCACTGTGACTCCTGTTAAGTGTTATGTGAATTGGCATAACTCACCTTGTCGTCGATCTCATCACTCATGTAAGTGCTCCATATGTAACCAGCCAATTTTGTGGTCCAGCGCTGATTCAGACAGGATTTATACCCATTTCCCCGACTCTTCACTGCAATTGCCTTATGGAGGTCCACGCTGAGCACGGGATGGTATCCCGCCTCCCGAGGTCCAGAAGAAGGAAGCGGATCTACAGTACTCCGTATTGACAGGAACTCAGGGAGCTCAAGAAAGCCAAAGGACAAGCCATAACCCATGACTGGGCACAATAATGTCACCACTCACCAGACACCGGTTCATCTGCTAGTCAGGCAGTTGTCAGCCCCTTTCCTGGATACGAGAACGGAAACACGTTGCAGAAGACTCAACGATGGTCGGAATGGTTGAGAATCACACACGAAAATGGGAGGCTTGAATTTAGTGTACCACTGTACCCGTCTATCATCTGAACAGTTCCCCCGTCGATTGAGGACACATACAAATGTAAATGTAAGCTGCTGACATCGGACATAAATATCGACAGGGCCAGGCATATCAGCTGGACGGACCAGTCTGCTACCAGCTATCTAGTACCTTCAGGCTTCAAGGCCCCTGGGCACAGGGGATAGATCCACGGATGTCGGATGCGCCATCCATCATGGCTTTTACTGTTCACTCGGTAAGTTGTTACTATGTGCTTCTGGCTCCTTGAATCCTGTTCCATGATTCCATCTGATCATCCAGGGACCGGGGGGGAGCCATGGTGTCCACAGCCCACTACTCCACCGGGCCCACCCCCATTTCCCCGGTTCCTTATTGGCGTTGAACCTAACCCATCAGCCGGCGCCCCGGGGCAGATGTGCCGCAAGTTCTCGTGCATGAGATGGAGGGCACGTGAGGGGCTTGCATGGGTTTAACCACAAGCTTGATGACTTTATCAAACAACACGCCAATCCCAACAGGCAACACCTGAACACCATGAGGCATGAGCACCGAGCAGACAGAAAGCGGGTAACCCGCCCTTGAAACGATCAAATGAGACCACCCATGTCCACTCCTCTCCTATGCGGCTATGCATACCCCTGTTTGAGGCCTGACGGACGTTGCAGCAAATGGAACCATTGCTGAAGATGTCAGGAATCTTTGTGAAGATGTCTTAATATCCACGACGGGGGAAACTGCGGATGCGGCAGATTCCCAACGACCATGTCACCGTTCGGTGGCGCTCGCTCGCCAATAGAGAACCTTGCATATCTATGCTCATATTCCAATTTCTAGTCCAATCATGTTGTTTATAGAGCGAAAATATCCGCTCGAACGACACTAGCGGCATATCCTGCCGCCTCTGGGCGGTCCGCGTTCGACGAGCCGTCCGGGACATGCAAGTTGTCCGCAATTTGGATCGGCCCGTGTACTTTTTCCTGCATGAAGAGAGAATTAGATTATTGGCCGCCTCACTCGCCTATCTTTTGCAGATCGAGGGACAATCCTTGCCTCCCTCGAGTCCTTGATGATCCTTCCAAGCTGCAGCGGCCCCTGTGCATCATATCTGCTTGCACCATTTCTCAAGCGTCTTGTCCAGGCCATGTGCACTTCCAGCGATTTCCTCCAAGCTGGCATCAACCCGGACCATACATGTCGTACCTAATTCTCCACCAATCGGGACAGCCGACGCAGGAATCAGTAATGCGCGGTCGATGAGTTTCTCCCACTCGCCTCGAGCCACATCACGGCTCCAGACCCGTGCCCCGGCACCGGTAGCTATCGCTCCACTGGATGAACTCTGGATACGTGCCTTTGCCGCCAGGGACACATATTCGTCGTAGGCCATATTGAAGTTACACGTGTCAGTATCAAGGATAATATCCAACCTCGCTGCACAGATGAGGAGGGCTAGCTGGAGCTCTGATAGCTGCCGTAGCGCACCAAGTTTTGAATCTGGGAAACTGAGGACGTCCGCAGAATGCAGCAAGAGATGCTCTTGCACAGCGGTTGTGGAGGAAAGGTCCTGGAGTGTGGTAATGGGGAGCAATAGTCCCGACCAGACTTCTTGGACCTTTTTCGTACGATAGAAGGTCGGATACACGTACGATGAGAGGAATGATTCATCTTCGAACAGTTCCTAGAGGAAGGTAAGCTTTATCTCTAACGAGAGCAATGTTTATGCTTACTGTTACGATAGCATTCCATTCTGACAACGAGACCGCCCCTTGTTCGGTCTCTGAAATACCTGCTTTCGCCTGGAAGAGCATCTCAGCCTGATGCAGAAGAAGTCCGCTCTTGCATCGGTCTTTGAATTGAGTGAAGCTTGTTGCAGGGAAAACATGAACATATCGGTGGCTGAACCGGCTTTTAACGCGTTTCTCCAGACTTTCAACAACATTTATCCTCGTAGTCAAGCCGAGAACTGCTATCGGCGCTTTCCGTGCTTGGGCGATGTCGAAAAGATTGTATAGGAGGGTCTGCCGTCCGTGTGATGCAAACAACTCGAATTCATCGATGACGAATATGACGGATTTCGACACCTCGCCGGCATCCTGAGACGCTCCTTGGCTTTCCAAAAGCGCAAGCAGCTTGGCCAAGATATCGGAATAGCTTTTTCCAACGTCGTCATCCTCAATGCTCATTTCTCTTCCCAACTGCTTCCATATTTCTCGCAAAGCAATTTTATCATCGGTGTGTATGAATCCGTCAAGATGGACAACGAAGAAGCTGTCTCCATGGTCCTTCTGCAGACTCTTGATTGATTCGTGGACGATTGCAGATTTGCCACTACCACGAGGCCCGGTTATCATCAAAGTGTTGCTTTCGCCCGCAGAGACCGTCTGCTCTAACAATTGGTACACCTTTCCATATGAATCTTCCAAGCCTATCAGTTTGGAGGTGTTTCTTTGTGTGACCTTTCCGACAACGGCATGGATCAACGCTGGCACATTGAATGAGATGCCTTTAGTGGCCAGTAAGCCATCCTTCACACGTTGGAGTTTAGGTAGCAGTTTGGTTGTAACAGTTTCGGTCGAAAGCGTAGATTTAGGCACACGTCGTAGCCCAGGAGAATAAGGACTAACTGCAAGATAGTTTTCGCTACCGTTTATACCATTGACGAGCGACTCAGCCTTTTGCCAGGTCCTAGGGGTTTTGCGCAATGAGGAGGGTTGGGGTTTGGTAATTGAACTCTGCAGGTGCACTCCATTTGACGTAGCAAGGTCATCAACGCCCACATTGTCTCCTTTCACCGGTGTTGCGGACTTTGATTCGCGGGCAGTTGGCTTGTCCTTGACCCTGTCCAAGGATTTGGCTGTTAGGGGGAGACCTGCGGGACCGTAAGCTATGAACTTCATTTACCCTCAAACGAATGCTTACGCCGTTTTGGAGTGACCTGAGTTGCTTCTGAGGCTCTCAGCTTCGCAGACGGAGTTCGTATCCTCTTCCCAGACGCCACGGCAGCCGCGTTGCGTGAATGCCTCCGGTCTTCCTGTTCCCGTAGCCCCAGCTCATCTGAAATATCTGAATTCGGCCCACAAGATAGCTCCTGTTTTGAAGTCCGTTGTGACATAGTTCTCCTCGCGGAACCATTGGTGGTGTTTTGTTTGGCAGAGGAAGGCCTTCGCGATCGAGGGGTTGCAATGGGTAGATCCCCAAGTTCATCGGCATCGACATCTTCGTCCGTGATAGTCCGACGAGACTTGGTGGGTGTTGTAGGCTCCTCCTCTTCAAACCGCCGCTTCTTCGACGAGTGCGTAGTTCCGTTCATCTCATCCCGTTTGTTTGACGACTGAATGGGAGACGAATCGATTGGAATGAAAGGTTGAATGGCTTTCTGTAATATCCCGAGGCTATGGTTCAACATGCCGAGAAATTCGAAACATGGTGGCTCTCAAATCAAGGACTCAGCAAAGTATGAACTGGGTCTGGACTCTGGATTCGAAGGTGCAACTAAACTTGGGCAGGGAGATAGGCAATTGCAGACGCGCGAGCACGTGATGCCGCGAATTCGACGCGTATTGACCCACTTATTTCTAACCTGCCATCAGATCAGATTTGTGTGATGATGAGGGACTTATGCTGAACTTCATCCTCAGGTCATCGCTTTCAATAGAGTCCCATCATACGGCGCTTCTTTGAAAGATCCCATATTTCAAGAACTGAAATGATGATTGCGGCTCGAGACGCCGATTGCCTGGCCATGCTTTCCTAAACTATCGCCTCCTCGGCTCTTTTTCATACATCAACTACTTCGGCGACGAGAGGAGAATTTGTGGAAGTGGTCGTGTTTCACCAGAGAGATATGGCGAAGATGCAGGCGGCCAGTCTCTCGACCCGCGTGGTGAAGAAGCGCAAGAAGAACTCGTCCTTCGCGGAAGATCTCGAAGCTAATCCCAACGAACAAGCGGAGGCAGACTTGAAGACGGCAGAGTCAAACGACCGGCCCGGCCCATCACCCACTACCCAAAAGGCCAAGAGAAAGCGGAAGTCAAAAGACGCGGAAGACGCAGCCTCATCGGTTTCTTCATCGTCTGGTGTGTCCAATCTTCCTGCCCTTCCCTGGCCGGAGTACTTCTCCTTGTTGGAGAAGACTCATCGCGCATTGAACATAGTGTATACATTTTGTAGCACACGCAAGCACTTTGCCACGACATTCGACACAATTAAAAGTGCGGTCGAGTCACATATCAAAAGAGATCTGACCGTAGACCAAGTGTCTCAAGTCAAGGGTCTAGTGCCAAATGTCATCAACTTTGCATATGTTGATGAAGCTATGCTTCAGATCAACCTTGTAGGCGCAGATGACCACACATACGCAAATCCGAAGCTCCGTGATGTCGACTCACCACACAATGAAGATAGTGATTCCGGACACCGCGAAGTGCTACTCTTTGAGTTCGTTGACGGCGACTTGAAGCGACAAGTACGAAATCCAAAGACTGGTGAAGCAGCTGGATCAAACCGCAGGCCACGAGATGAGGATCTGAAGATGCCGGTCTTTAGCCAGAAGCAGTTGGCCAAACGGATTGAGAAACGTAACGAGAAGTTCTCAGCTGCTGTCAACTGGTTCCTGCACCAATGCCAGATCGATCTACGAGATCCAATAGAAAGACTTAAAGAGCTTGGTTCTCAGTGCTATCCATCCCCAACCGATAAAGCACCCGATGCCTGCCTTGAATGTACCCCGGCCAACCTCCCGCCATCGATCCCATCAGAAAGGAAATCCATCCCGGAAATCATCGATGAGATCCGGTCCCTTAAATGGTATTCAGAACAAATCGTTCCTGATGGACATCGAGTCTTCGACCCCCAGTCTGCCGTCTATGGCGACTTGGACTTTCAACTATCACAGTCCCTTGTGAATGCCATTTATAATACCAGGAGCATCATACAGTTCTATGTCCACCAAGCGGAAGCCATCAATCATCTGTATCACGGAAACAACGTCATTGTCTCTACGTCTACCTCGTCGGGGAAGTCGTTGATCTATCAAGTCCCAGTTCTACACGAATTGGAGAAAGATCGTGATGTCAGAGCGATGTACATTTTCCCAACGAAAGCCCTGGCGCAAGATCAGAAGAGGAATCTCAAAGAATTACTGGGGTTGATGCATGGTCTGGAAGATATTCTCGTTGAGACGTTCGACGGCGACACACCCATGTCTGATCGAAATAAGATACGAGACGAAGGAAGAGTCATTTTTACTAATCCTGATATGCTCCATATAACGATTCTACCTCAGGAGGACTCTTGGCGGACCTTTCTGAAACACCTCCGATTCGTGGTTGTCGACGAGCTACACGTGTATAACGGGCTTTTCGGGGCTCATGTAGCCCTCATTATGCGCAGGCTTCGGAGAATATGCGCGGCAGTGGGAAATCGACATGTCAAGTTCATTTCGTGCTCTGCAACGGTCTCGAATCCAAAGGAGCATATGGAGACCATCTTTGGAGTCGATAATGTTAAATTGACAGACTTTGATGGATCCCCTTCAGGCTGCAAGGAATTCCTTTGTTGGAACACTCCGTTCAAGGATCCTCGAGATCCTACTTCCGGTCGAGGGGACAGCATCGCTGAAGCAGCAAGATTGTTTTGCCAGATGATCCTCAGGGGGGTCCGCGTCATATCGTTCTGCCGTATTCGGAAGCAATGCGAGCTGCTAATAAGTGCGGTAAAAACTGAGCTCAACAACCTAGAAAGGCCGGAGGTGATGGCACGGGTAATGGGGTATCGAGGGGGTTATACTCCCCAAGACCGGAGACAGATTGAGCGGGAGATGTTCGATGGTAAGCTGGTTGGTATCGTGGCCACGAACGCCCTTGAGCTAGGAATTGACATCGGATCGCTTGACGCTGTCATCACGGTTGGCTTCCCGTACACAATCGCGAATCTACGGCAGCAAAGTGGACGTGCTGGACGAAGAAATAAAGACTCTCTCTCGGTGCTTGTTGGCGATTGTTTTCCAGTCGATCAGTACTTCATGCAGCATCCTGATGAGATCTTCACAAGACCGAACTGCGAGCTGCAAGTGGACCTTACAAATATGCTTGTGCTCGAGGGGCATTTACAGTGTGCTGCGCATGAAATGCCTATCCGCCCCGAAGACGACGAGAAGTACTTCGGACCTCTACTCCGACCCATTTGCAAAGAGAAGATGCGTCTTGATGATAGAGGGTTCTTCCATTGCAACGAAAGATATCTGCCACGTCCGGCTCGGTTCGTGGCCATTCGCGATACTGAAGAAGATCATTTCGCGATCATCGACATCTCACATGGCCGCAACGTGCTTCTCGAAGAGCTTGAGGCATCTCGGGCGTTCTTTACCATTTATGAAGGAGGTATTTTCCTCCATCAAGGAAACACGTACCTCGTGAAGGAGTTCTCGCAGGAACGAATGCTGGCCAGAGTAGAATTCGTACGAGTTGACTGGGTGACGCAGCAACGAGATTTCACGGACATCGATCCTGTCGAAACTGAAGCAATCAGGCAGATACCAGAGTCGCTGTCTCGTGCCTTCTACGGACCTATCAAAATCAAGCGAGTCGTATTCGGCTTCTTCAAAAAGGATAAGAAGGGGCGCGTCCTCGACGCAGTACAAGTGGACAACCCCCCGATCATCCTTCATAGCAAAGGCATGTGGCTCGATGTCCCCAAGTCTGCTATTGACATCCTCGATTCCCGACGCTTCAACATCGCCGGTGCCATTCATGCCGCTGAGCATGCCATTCTCAGTCTGATGCCGAACTTTGTGGTCAGCATGCCAGATGATGTGCGAACGGAGTGCAAAGTTGCGCAGAAAGAGTTTGCAAAGAAGGAGACCACTCGCAAGCGCCCTGCGAGACTCACATTCTACGATGCGAAGGGCGGTGCATCCGGGTCCGGGATCAGTACCAAGGCATTCGAATTCATTGATCTACTGCTGAAGCAAGCTTGTGAGCGAGTTTCAGCCTGTCATTGCCTGGAAGGGTGTCTGGAGTGCTGTTGCAGTGAGCGTTGTAGAGAGGCAAACGTCGTCATGTGCAAAGCTGGAGCGGAGGTCATATTGAAGAGCCTCTTGAATTGGGACATCGATGTTGATGCGCTACCTTGGGGTCTAGACGAATCAGTAGCGGCTGGCATTGAGACAGTTGTTTTGGCTCCTGAAGTACGGGCGGCTACAGGGAAGACTATTGTTCCTCTTGAACCAAGGCGCCTGTAGCCGATCAGTATCTTTTGAGGTGGCTCAACAGTTGAGACGGTCAGATACAGTAGTTACCATACGATAATATGAGATATGTACGCTATCATGTGACCATCGCTATTCTTAGTGGAGAAGCATTATATCAACCTCGGAGTATCGTCAGTTCGTCACTCAAGTACAAGTCTAAACATCATACCACTTATAGCAGTATATATTTAACGCCAAGGGATTATAGACTCCGACAATTAATAGGATACGAGCTCAACTTTATCATGGCGACATTCGCGTTAGTCTCTGCATTCCCACCCATGACATCACTGTCTTACACCGCATAGGAAGTCGTCATTCGCACATAGCCTCTATGCTGCAGCCAGACCGTCTTATCCGCCCGCTTTGTACGACACCATTCTGAAGTACCATTCTGCACCCCGGGGTTTGTGCATCGATCTCGGTTGTGGGCATGGGGTTATCACACGATGTGCGCGGTTCCCGAACGATCTTCACATCTGAAACCCACGGATGCTGATGACTATAGATCTATCCAAACAATTCACAAGAGTTGTTGGAATTGATCCGTCTAAAGGCATGATCGCCCAAGCCGTAGCACTAACACCTAGGGACCAGTACCCAAATGTTGAATACAAAGAAGGCCTTTCGGAGAACCTTCCATTCTTGAACGATGAAACAGTTGACATCGTGGTTGCCGGTCAAGCGGCGCACTGGTTCGATTACCGGACACTGTTCCCCGAGGTGCAACGTATCCTCCGAAAGGGTGGAACATTAGCCTTCTGGGGCTACAAGGACCATGTCTATCCTGCGTTTCCAAACGCAACTCGGATTACGCATCACTATTCGAAGAGCTTGGATAAAGATTTGCTGGGCTCGTACTGGACCCAACCTGGCCGTGATATCGTCGAAGATAAGCTACGCCGGATCAAACCTCCGGAGGAAAATTTCCAGGATATCCAGCGCATTGAATATGAGCCCGGAACAAAAGGACCACAGTCTGGAGAGGGAACCATGTTCGTCAATAGGAGAATGAAGATCGGGGAGTGCAAAGAATATATCCGGACATGGAGTTCATATCATGGCTGGCAAGAAGCACACCCCGGCATCGAAAGGCGAAGTGGTGGTGGGACTGGTGATGTTGTGGATAGCCTGTTCGATGAATGCGCGGAATCGGACCATGAGTTCGCCGATGACGGGCAGGAAATCGAGGTGGAATGGGGAAGTGGGCTGATCATGGGACGGAAGAGATAATCGGTTCGTTTGGTATCTGCTGTTCCGGTAATCCAATCGACTCATAGTCTTTTTAGAGATGGATTCCCTGGTCGCTGCATCTTGCATATCAAGAGTGCGACTGTGTCTGCAAGATGTGGTAGAAATGCTGGTTTCTGCCATGCCTGAACACAGTCGCACATCATCCGTGTAGTACTACATCTCGATTGGTTTAGGACCATTGGAGGGCATTCCTTTCGAATGCACGAACACCTGTATGCCCAGAAAACCACCATGCTGCGTATATTAGTAGCACTATGGTCTCTATAACTCTCTATGCACCATTATTTGGGCTCCGGGAGGATGGTCTTGTCCCGCTTCCTCGTACCAGTAATGGAAGAGTGGAACAGAGACTTCGGACGAGTGGGCGATCACGATGCTAATGGCGGATCATTATTAGAGACTGGAGTCTGCGAGTTCACTAATTAAGTCCGAACTCCGAAGTTATGAGCCGTGAATTGTGACATCAACCTCGTCCCGCTCCCAATTTCCATTTGGTCGCCCGAAGTTCCAAAGAGGTTTCTCTCAGCGATTTTCCAGCGCGATTTGGTGGTTGTCGCCGTTTGTCTCCACAACTCGCGAAGAAAAAAAATGCGCATTTCGCGCTTCATCGGACGCCTTTCCGTGTTAAACAATGTCCAGGACGAATGCGGTTGACATAAAAGGGGGTGATTCAATAGAAGGTGGAGGGATTGGTCAGTAGCGCACCAAAATCGGCACAGCACGAGCCTCTCCTAAGATGGCGTCCCACCCTCAGCCCAGTCAACCAGATGCTTGTATTATTGACAACCTCCTTCGGGCTGATTAAATCCCTCTCCTGATCTTCTCACCTCCAGCTAATTGGCATGACGGGATCGCAATCTCGTCCAGTGGTCGTCTGGACTCTGGACTCTGGACTCTGGACTCTGGACTCTGGACGTCTGGTCCACGTCGCTAAATCAACCGACGTCTGACGGTGCTAAGGGGGTTTCTCCAAGACTCCAATCGTCGTGATCGGAACTTGGACGCCTTTCGGGCTGTCTGACATTTTCCAGGGATCCCACCCCTCCTGTGCCTAGGACACGGGAACACGTCGCGCGGTCGGTGTGATTTCTCCAAGATCGCGCATCGTGGCGCCGATGACCATTCGCCGACGGTTTGGTTTGGCCTCGAGAACTTCGCTGGGCTTCCCGAATAGTTTCCGTGAAGCGGAACGATTGGCCTACTCGGTCGAGTCTTCGTCTCTTGGATCAAGTAGTCATTATTCCTATGGCTGCCCTTCCGTACGACACCATGACGCGGCTGCTTCTGAGATTTGACATATTCTCTCCTAATTGCAGATGCTCTCCGTGTCCTCCATTTCACTCTTCGACTGTCTTATGTTCCACAAGATTACAATTCTAATTGCCAATGTCTTTCTCTTACAAGTCGCTCGTTCTTAGGATTCACAGTGGTACCCCGCGTGCAACCTAATGGAAGCACTGGCTTATATTTCGCATGTATTCATGAAAATCCTGCGCATTTGGAGCATCCAGTGGAAGTAATATAATTTGTATTGTCTAGGTACGATATTGCGCTCAGAGTCGACAATTATCCATTTCATATCATATTCCTAGAGTCTACATGTTCCATTCTAATATTAATCCTAAGTTCTCTGTTTTCGCAATCGGTCCGGTCGTCGAGACTATCCTGGAAGTCTCAACATGAAATTGATAGCTCATTCACTCTTCACGGGTTTATGTGCAATTATACTTCTCTCTGGAGGCGCGCTCTCCTCTACCAATCGATACCTATCCCGAAGACAAGATGAATCGATACCAACCACACGGAGCACTTCCGCGGCGCTATCCGCTTCTCCAAGCTCAACCGCCGTTTCAGAGTCGAGAGCAAGCCTGGAATCGACACCGAGCTTAGCATTATCAAAAGCCGAACCTTCAACTACTACGACAGAGGCATCAGAGACAGTGGCAACGCTGGAGAACGCACCATCAGCATCTGGACAGCCATACAACAGCAGTACAGATCTAGAGGAGTCGGAGCAGCTACCCATCCAGCCTAAGATTACCCCTGCCGTGGGCATAGCTGGTGCGTTGTTGATGCTCACGGGCCTCGTATACACTCTGCTTGGAATACAGAAAAAATGGTGCGCACATCACTGATTTCCGTCACTTGAGACTGATCGCATTGTAGGATATATGTCTCGTTTTCCGTTGGGTATCTGTTCAGCTTGGCGGTTACAGTATGTCGTCGCTAAGGAGAAAGCGGTTCTGAACTCAGTTGACAATACCAGGTCCTGATCGTATATGTCATGGATCCTCCAGTAAGGGATGCGATTCAAGGCGCTTACCTTGTTGCCGCCATAGTCACCGGAGTCTTCTTCGGGGGTATCGCTTGCATATTTAGCGATATCACACAAGGACTGGGATGCTTGCTTGGCGGTTACTCCCTAAGCATGTGGCTCCTTACACTCCGATCGGGGGGTCTCATCCAGTCCGTCGCTGGAAAGGCGATCTTAATTGGAGTGTTCAGTTTAGTCGCCTTTTCCTTTTCATTCTCCAGTTACACGAGAAGTTATGCTCTTGTCGTATCCATGTCCTTCTCAGGGGCCACTGTGATAATGCTTGGAATTGACTGCTTCACAAGGGCAGGTCTCAAAGAATTCTGGTTGTATCTGTGGGGTAAGTTTCTGTTCATATCCCTTCCAATATCTCCGCTCACCCAGTACAGATCTCAGTCCCAAAAGTTTCCCTATTAACACGACCAACTACCCGCTCACCAGAGGCATCAAGGCGGAGGTCGCGCTCATTATTCTAATCTTCTTGATGGGCGCCATGTCTCAGTTTAAGCTTCTAAATGTCATTAAACGACGACGCGCAAAGAAGGAGCTGGACCGTCAACGACACGCAGAAATGCGTGAACAAGAGGAGAACGAAATAGGTCGAAGAATGCAACAGGACCTCGTTAAAGAAGTCGCGCAGTGGGAAAATCTTTACGGGAATAAATCGCGTGCCGAGGCGTGCGATTCGAGCATTACCGAATCCGACGGCTCCCAGAAATATTCAAACAGCGCAGATCAATTGCACAAATCTCATGGACACGACATCGAACTTGCCGACATGCCACAGGCATGGAGCGGACCGTCGTCTGGCGCCACTTCTCGGAGGATAAGCGATACTTTAGGAGCTCAGAGCAACGGCCGAAGTACGAGGCCAGTTTCGGTTAATCGAACCCAGTCGGGCCAGAACAGTGGTCCAAGTACGAGGCCAGTCTCCGTTAATCGGAATCAGTCAGTCCCAAGCAGCGGCGCAAATACGAGGCCAGTTTCGGCTTATCAGAGTTTGCCAGTGCAGAGCAACGATCCAACAATGAGGCCGGTTTCGATGAATCGCAGTCAGTCAACACCGCGCGTCAGTGAAAAAGGCACCTCGACACGGAATGGTCTACTGAGAGTATCGACTGCTAGTGTAAGTAGGAACACTAGAGGAGATGATCGAAACTCAATAGCCGTTGGCCCTAAACAGTCATCTGCGAGAAGCTCGGTACGGCTGTCTAGCTCTTCTCCTGCTATCTTGCCGCTTCCCCTCGCTGCTATCCAAAGGCGAAGTCGTGTCGAGGAAGAGCAGGCATCTATTTCAACCGCACAAGAATCGACGCAAGAGGTTAGACACGGAATAAAGCGAATTTCTGGCGCATCGGCCTTTAAACGGCTGTCCACGGTATCCAGCAGGCCAGACCCAGCAGAGTCACAAGAGGATCTTATCCCTTCCGCCGATGACAACGACAACGATGACGACAGAGCTTCCTCCATTGCTGCGACGTTAGATGAAGAGGAGATTCTCGACTCGGCCGCTTCAGCCCTCTCCTTACCATTATCGGTTGTGGAGGAGGGAAGCGGCTCTCAGAAAGATGCGGCGGATCGCGCAGGGCAAGGTAGTCAATCATCGGGCGGTACTGGCACCCACCCTTCAGGCCCTGGCGCCACAGATCATGCGACTGAGGAATCATCGGAGACTTTACTATCAGCCGGTCCTCAGATCGAGATCAGCAAAGATGGTAGTGAAGGGAAGTGGTTGGTGCATGGTGGGCTATCCAAAGCCGAGAACAAAATCGAAGACGGCGAAGAGCGCATTAAAGCAGGAAATCGATCGAAACGACCCAAATCTGGCGTCTCAGTCGCGCAGTCAGATGCAGCCCGCCCAGTATCAGCGTCCGGAAGTTTGAAGGAGCATCTTCCCGACAAGCTCTCGAAGGCTGCCATGCTCTACCGAACCAACGAATGGACCAAGGGGTGGGAGGTCGCAGAGGCCCCTGAGGAGGATCGGCTTTCTCGCAGCTCTTCGCCTGGCATCCAAATCGATCCTGCATTCGTCTATGCCGCACAGGCGGAGGCGAACAAACCAATCGTGTCCCCTGTGGTTGACATGCGAGACCACGTGGAAGTGCCAGGCCTCGTACGGCAGTCGTTGGTGCGACCCAGTTCCGCAGAGCCATTTCACCGTAATTCTAAGAACATGTCTGGATTGCGAACTTCATATAGCAACGCTCCTTTCCCGGAGCTACAGCGCCCATCATTAGCTCTGCACGCTCATGCGAACCAGCGGCTTGCGGGACTTTCGCAGCAGAACGTCCATGTTCGGGCGAATTTAGGCAAACGAATGTCATCCGCGCCACTGATGTTGTCGGGGGCACTGCAACCGGCTATCGACGAGGCTAATGAGGCATCCTTCGCTCGCTCGTCTACTCCGACACTTCACTTGCCGGCTAGCCTCCGCCTATCCCAATCCGCCTCCCCTATGCTGCTCCCTCGCGCGAGCAATACCTCATTGAACCAGCAATCCCGCTTTTCCGGCGACCTGCAAAGCTTTGACTCCCACCAGCCGAAAGGGCACTCCGGTTTCGATGCCCAGAGACGCGATACAAATCTCGCGGTCTGGCGCTCATCGATGTCCCAGCTTAACCGGCTTCAAACGCCCATCGTTGATGACGGGAGACGGACCGCGATGATCCAGGAACAAAGAATGAGGCAAATGGAAGAGATGCAAAAGAAATCGGTGGCTGCGTACCGAAACAGCGTGTTTGATGTCCAAATGCGCAGTGGAAATATGATAGGAGCACATCGTGACGTTCTGCGAAGGATGCAAGAGAAGGCGAACAAGAATGCTTGAAATCCCTGAGATGTTCCCTGTGTCTGGTTCTTTTAGCGTGGCGTTTGTGTAGGATGTCGAATTTGGCTGACAAAGGCATCAAAGACCATGGCGCGGGTTACGTGGTCTCGAAAACGCCGGCTAACTGGTACAAATCCATGTGGGTAATTCTAGAACCTTGTCTCAATATTCCCTGGGGCTACAGAAATGAAATGTGCATCCGTATTCGCAACTAGATTATGCTCGTTTTCCATCCGTGACTATGACAACCGACCCCTTGCCCAAGTCTTGCTGCCCTTCCACAAAATCATCAATTGACTCGATCATGCGTGGGACAAGTGCCTCGCGAGCAGGCCAGATCAGACTGAGTCCTGAATACACCACGAAAGCTACTACGATGCCATAGTACCAACTGAAATTGTTGAGATACTCAGCACCACCAATCTTGACGTCAGGATTGACGTTCTTGGCCAGTCCAGGTAACGCCGGTACAATGGAGCACATGAGCGCCACAAGCGCACGCCAATTGATCCCATAGTCATAGCGATAGCGGCCCTGTGGTTGATACAATGCTGGGATGTCCAAATGTTGTCGCTTGACGACGTAGAAGTCGGCGATTTGGATACCCTACAGAATTGAGTAAGTCATCATCATGGAAGACCAAAGAAATCGAGAACCCCTTACCATTGTTGGAGCCAAGAAGATTCCGAGTGAGTTCATGAAGCTCAGTAACGATGATGCGGAATGGAGGATTTTCCAGGGCACCATTGCCCAGCCTCCGATGATCGTGATAATGATGGATCCGCGGCGAATGTTGATCCACTTGGGGAACAAATTGGAGAGGTCATTTGCCCCGGAAATGACTGTCGCACTCATATTCACACAAATCTGCGCAATAAGCCAGGAGAGACCAGCGAAAAAGGCACCAGCTCGCCCAGCAGGCCCCTCCCATAAATCAATGATGGCGATTGGGTCCCATATGTATTCGTTGTAAATCATGAACGAGGCTGAGGCTACCACGACACCGATGATGGCGACCCAGCTACATATGATCGGAAAGTAGGCTGCCTGGGAGAACGCAGACCTTGGGTTGTGCAGATATCGAGTAAAGTCTGGTCTAGAAAGCGGAATGCGTCAGTGGATCTATCAAGAAGAACAGTACTCCTAAGGGTGACTGGTATCCCCACGCAAACCGAGTTCAGGGGTTGGAAGTAATCCTCCTGGAGGAACACACTCACATATTAACGCCTACAGTCGACCAGCTTGCCGCACAGGACGTTAAAGACCACATTGTTAGCCAGGATTTCGTCGAACCAGAGACCGTCGCCTGCTGCTTCCATATATCACCACTACCGCCCGCCTGAGTACATATCCAGATGGTCATGCCAACAATGGTAGCTAGCGACATCGCGACTTTGACAGTGAAGAGCCATCTCATCTTATGAGGTGGAATTAACACGATGGGAAATTGTACAGCCCACACCAGGAAATATGCAACCATTTGCTGGCTCGTAATCCCCACTGATTCCGGGATGATATTAGGGAGAGTCCTGAAGGAAGGCCAAATCGATCTGATGACCTGAATCATGGGTCCCACTGCCAGCATATTGGTGATAGAGTGCCAGAAAAGCGCCGTGATTAGGCGAACGATGACTGGAAACTTGGCCAGGTGATAACCGAAGGATGATCGAGCTAGGATAGGGAAAGGAGCATGAGTTCGAGCTCCTGCGTAACCGTTCAGTGACATAGGGACAGCCATGCAGAATGATCCAAAGATGACAGCAAAGACAGCTTCGCGCCTAACAATAATTAGCAGGAGATCTTTAGCAGAATATCGTTGAGATGGGATTCGTGCCATGTCAGTCCAAGAGGCAATATTGTGCTGCCGGTCTGCCAGCTTTGAATACTGATAATATCCGAGAACCAATACCCGAACATCGTCCAGTTCGTCCAAGTCCTCCTTTCAACAGGTGTTATATCCATATCAAGATTGCTCCAGGTACCAGGAGGAGCCCAGCTAGACTCCTGCTTCGGTAGGATCCATCCTTCCGCTGTCCGCTTCCTCCGCACCTCCTCTTTGACTCGGTCGACACCAATCATTTTACCCATATTCGGGAAGAAACTATATGGATTGAGAGTATCCAAATACTGGCATCGCTTTCTCAAACATGGATTTCTGCGGACATGCAAGGTATCTATACGTTTTGCTGATTGTAGCTCAAGATTATGCCGGTGCCCCGTATCTTGGCTAGCAGAATAGCTGCATCAGGGTGACCGGGGGGTGGCTAAGGCATCCCCGCCACGATTTTTTAGCCCGCACAGTTTGCGGGTTCGCCCAATAGACTCTTCAAAACTTCGAGAGGGGCTCGAGTTAGCCCCTCCTAGTGATTAGTGTCCGAGATAAACCGACGATATCTGGTAATTCCACGACTCAGCCATCAGTGTGATATCTAGCCGCACCATTAAGACATAAGAATTAAGACAGACACGGCCGAGGGTTGCCGATAAGGAACCAGCGCCTTGCCGTGAGTGGAAATTGGAATGTTCCGACATACAAGACTTGGCGTCTGAAAGTCGTATCTGCATGCCAGAAATTGACCGATAAAATAGGACCGCAGGTTGAAGCAAAGCGGGGCCTGGAAGGGCTGGAACACCACGTTTTTCTTGTCTTTCTTGGAGGACGAATCTTCTTCTGAAATCTAGACTGCATTCATGTCAAGCAGCTCGTGCATATCATCGTCGGATTAACAGTGTGCTCAAAATGGTCGCTCCTTTGGATTCGGTATGCGCTACAATACCCCTCATTGATATCTCTGGGTACCTCAATGGCGACAAAGAAAAGGCCGAGCGGGCAGTAGTCGAGTTGAGGACAGCTTGCCAGTCTCCAGGCTTTCTCCAAATAACTGGCCACGGAGTAACTTCCGAGATTCGATCCCAACTGCTTCAAAAACTTGCCGAATTCTTTGCACTTCCCGCCGCGACGAAGCAGGCTCTTCATCGGAGCCAGTCGAAATGTCTGAGAGGCTACGAATCCGTTGGAGAGCAGAAGCTGGAAGCTGGCATTTCGGATCAGAAAGAGGGTTTTATGATCGGTCCCGATTTGCCGGCAGAGAATGGGTACCTTCAAGGACCAAATCAATGGCCCAGCGAGGAAGCAGCTCCTGGATTTCGGGAAGTCTATATGGCTTACTTCGACGTCATGCGTAATCTTAGTAAGACCGTGTTTAGATTAATGGCATTAAGCCTCGATCTAGACGAACGATACTTCGATGAATTCGTCGGAAGCAAGGATAGTGAGTCGCATACACCAGTCCCGGCTGAAAGACTCATTGCGCTCAACGTCAATAGCAATATCAATGTGTAGAGCACATCGATATCCACCAACAACCCCGGAAATGGCTAAAACCTCTCGAGGTATCGGTGCGCACACGGACTTTGGTGCACTGACGCTGCTGTTACAGGACGATGGTATGTCGGTGAGATCGTCAGATGGATCGCATTGCTGACTTGGCGACAGTGGGCGGACTCGAAGTGTTCCACAAGCCAACAGGTACCTGGCATAATGTACAGCCAGTTAAAGATGCCTTCGTGGTCAACATCGGCGATATGATGGGTGAGAAGATCTGCACCATATTAGAAAGATGAAACTGACAATATACATCCAGAGAGATGGACGAACAATACCTACACCTCAACCTTACATCGTGTCATTTCACCCGTTACGGCAAAAGACCGATATTCGGTAGCGTTTTTCAACGAAGGACTACCAGACCAGCTAGTCAGCTGCATTCCGACATGTCTGAAACCGAACGAGAAACCGCTTTTTGAGCCGATTAGAGTCGAGGATCATTTGCGTGCTCGATATGGAAACAGCTATTAGTAGGGAGCGGTCGAATCGATACCAGTAGTTGATATAAGCAAATTCAGTGAGATTCACTTGGACTGCCACTCTTGATGGCGGGAAATACATCCCGAGATCTTCGAATTCTCTAGACATTCTGGTCGCCTGTGCCACTATATCTGGGCCAAGACTCAAGGTATCGAATCGTGATCGTCATTGATAGGGCTAGGAAGACGTAATCTCCATGTCGCAACTCTGGAGGGCTCCGATATCGGGAAATTCACGAGTTGCCGAATGTGAACATCAGCGAGCCGTATCCAGCCATAGAATGTCGTTTCACCGAAAGTGCCCTTCCCGTAAATGATCTACAGTCGTCGTGAAAATTTATTTCCGGATCCAGATATGATGAAAGCACGGTAGCGAGAAACTCGTTGGGCCAGGGAAAGTCCATGTCAGGACTGAATTCTGATAGTTGTTGAGCTGCTATGCGTCAAGCTAAACATCGAAATATGCCCGCCCCCTTCGCCCAGGTAGACTGTTATGGATATCGCTTGACTGTAGATTGGCCTCACGAACCGCACTTGGTGATTTCGTTCACCCGGATGTTGTTGATTCATGGACACGGCATCGACCCATATCAAACACTCATTATGTTCTTGCCCAAGGCGGCAGAGGGCGGAGTAGTAGTTTTCAGTCACGTAGCGATGCACTCCCTGGAGAGAACTCTACAGACTTGACGTGATATGTTTCCCAGACGTATAAAATAGCAGTATACAGCACGGTATCCATATCATGTGGTGAACGCAACACATTGCCATTGATCTGACTGTGCAAGAGTCTCGTTTCAACTTCACATTTGATGCGTGCAACCACCTCCGACAGGCATATGATCTAGAGCTCCGAAATGAATAAATGAATAAATGAATACGAATATAGCCCTTATTCATATTCGTATTCATATTTATTCATATATCTCTCCGGGAATTTGTTGTTCCGGGCCGACCCGTTTCCTCTTCCTATAGATAGTTATATGCTATCGTCTTGCTTGTCAATAGACAGATTTCAGTCCAGTTCCTATGCCAGAACATAGGCAGGTGTTTTTGCGCTGCTTTGAGCCGTGCTGCGAATAGCCATGAATTTGGATCCCATATATCCCGTATGTCTAGGTACGGGGCCCTATTCAATTGCAGGTAATTAAATGATGTTGGGTTGGCTTAGGTGCCTACATTTCTAGAGGGTTTTGCCTCCAAAAAGGGAGGTCTCTAAGCCAGCAATTTCTTTGCATCAGAACATCTCAATTGATTAGGCGGTTGGAAGAAGGTCCGCTACACAACACCTTTTTTCTAGGGAAAGTACAGGAATGGCAGTGTTTCTATTTAACTACTCGGTAACGGTCTCAACCAGATGCTCCCTGGTACGTTAGTAGTAGTAGTCCCATGACTTCCTCAAGGGCGTCGTCTAAGCACCACTTATCTCAATTCTCGTGAAATTTGAGCTGTTCGACGACCAGGGCAAGATAGTAGGTAGATATAACGCGTTGCTACGGCTAGAACCTAAGGTAATACACATGCTGTGCAGGATTTGTTAACCAGTTAGCGGTGTATTCCAAGTTAAGCAGCAGGTCCCACGTAGATAGTTGCTACAAGATCTTAATAAGAATCTCGGGAAGTTTTTGGAGATCAGACGATGAATTTGGTGAGTGTGTAGGTCGAAAACAGTAAGCTGGCTGAGAAAAGAAGGGAAGATGGCACCTCCATCCAACCAGTTCAAAGTCCTTCGAACGCTTCTCATTCATATATCCAGCAGGAAAGTACGTAGTCTGTGATCCACAAGACCGTGCGTCACACAGGGAGTGCTTCAGCCCCACCACCTAAAACCGCCAAGCTTCTACACGCTCCATTCTCCACCATTACCGTATGGTTTGAGATCTTGATATCTAGAGGAGAATTATAATAGCTCTCAATGCCTTCAAATCTAGTCAATTTTCGAGTGTCAATACCTCCGCAAAGGCTTACAAGTTACAACGGCTATCAGAACACGATTCATTGGACGCAGGTCAATGCAGCAACCCCCTGTATATGTACCTTGGTCGGTTGGTTAGTGGTCCCAGCAATCTGGTTGCAGGAACAGCCCCAAATCAACCAACCAATACTCAGGTATTGCCGCCCACCCTGCTGCTATCTTTGAGTGCCAGCACCGAGTTTCAGTTGAATGGGATTGTGCTGTGCCGCACAACCTTCCAATAAATCTATCGACAAGTCCCTCACAGAATCCAAGATGTTCTTGGTAATATGGCGAATCGTCGCCAATGCTCATGCTGTACGTTGAAGTCTGGTTGGCACGGAATCGCGATGACTTTACTAACCAACTTACTAGGAGACTTGCAAACGACGCCGCCCATGACGCCGCTTTCTCCGCTTCATTCACAAGAATAACATAACGGTGGATTCTTCTACTGCAAATGGCCGTCGCAACGTTAGATCCGACCTTCAGTCCCGCTGCATCTTGCCTGGCGGCGAACAATCTGTGGAAAATATTCGCGGACTGTCCGATCAACAATGGCGTTTGTTGGTATTTCTTACAGGGTCAGCCCACTACCTCATCCTGCTATCCGCCCGGTTACAATCCTACCTCCACAGCATACTATTCACCTGCGTCCTGTCCCTCTGGGTATACCTCAGCTTGTGGTGCAACTCAAACAGCCGGGACTGTCACAGAGACTGCGTACACTTGCTGCCCAACGTACGTAACCTTCATTATAACTAGCGCTCCAATGCTATCGAGGTCTACAACTGATTCCAATTTGGTTAATGAACAGTATCGGAATCTACACTTGCCAGAAAGACCCAAAGGATTACCATCCATGGGGTTTCACGCTAGGCTGTTATTCTAACTTTGCCTCGCCAGTCACGCATTTCGTAACTGCGTCGTCATCCGACAGCAGCTCAATGGAAACTGTGATCATGAACGCGACAGATGCTATCAATGCATATGCAATTCAAGTGCGATTTCAATCTACCGACTTTCCAAAATCAACCGTGAGTCCGACTAGTTCCCACCCAAGGATAATGCTAAGTTGGACAGGGATCAATTATCAACACTAGTTCTAGTTCAACTTCTAATTTGAGCCAACCTTCGCTGCGTGTTGAGACGAATTCAAACTCCGGCCTCAGACCTGGAGCCATAGCTGGAATTGCCATTGGAGCTGTCATAGGTGCTCTGCTCGTCATGCTGTTAGCGTTGCTGATTATTCGTCATCGTAATCGTCGGAGACACAGACCGACCGAAAGAGACGGCAGCGCAGGGCAAAATATCTCGAATATGCAGCCGCCTAATTTTATCCCCGGACTCAAGGCGGAACTTGACAACACATATGTGCCCGCACAGACCCGGCCGGCGGAATTGGAGGGATGAAAGGACTGGATATTGGTTGGCTACTGGCAATCTTCAGCACGTAGTCTCAGAGTCGAGATGAACGGGTTCCTCATTCCTCAGTCTGGCATTCAGAAGCTAAAGAAGATGAAGAAGTCGAAGTACACGGTGCGTTCGAAGTTAATATTATTATCATCATCATTAAAATAGCCCTGTGGTGCATAAAGGCAACCTTTCTGCCCCAAATAATCACGAGCATAGCTAGCACGTGATCTCTGCCTTGCTACATGTAGAGGCATAACTAGTTAGAGTATCTCAACCCCGTAGGATTATTAATAAAGTACTCTTAATCATGGGGAGGAAACAGGGAAATGGCTGAATTGCTCAAAACCAGCACCTTCGCGATCAGTGCAAACTTCCTAATTAGGAAATCAAACGATACCCTTTTCTCATCTGATCGTCTAATCGTACAGTGATATTTTGATCCTGATCTCGCGCCACATAACCACCTTGCTTACAGCACTCACTCCCCGCCTTCCGGAAACCCTCCGCATCCACGCCACCCAGATATGAACTCCGTCCCTACCGTGCCGCCTGTGAAGGAAGCAGATGCTATGATTTAACCGATCATCGTTCCGGATACCGCGGAAGTTGAAGAACCTAGGGTTGCCTTCGTCCTTCGTAACCACAGCCGCACCCCGGATCCGCCACGGGGCGTAGAAACGACACTCCTTCTGGTCAGTACGTTTATTCGTGCGGAGGCAGTACGCATCAGTGCAATGGTGCTTCTGCACACGGTTAATGATGGCGGAGTAATGGGCCAGCGTATTCTCCTGGGTGTCAGGACTTAGCGCGATGGCACTCCGCTCATCCTCAGGTCGCGCCCGACGAGAAGGTTCGGGGTTCAACGCCATGATGTGACCGCCCCAGAACCGCGCAAATTTCTCAAGGGCGGCAGGGAGATCCTCCGTAGGGATACGATCAAGCTCATTGTTAGGGCAGGCACGGTCTAGCCAGAGGAGGAAATGTGAGTGCGACGAGCCGCGACCCTGCCACTCATATCGGCCCCATTGATCGCGGATGTTGAACTTAGGAATTACCAAAGTCTTGTATAGAGCCTCGCGGCGCCAATGAAAGAGATATGCGGCGATGTGGGGATAGTCTCGGAGGTTGCGGCGTGAGATTGAGATCCACTCCGCTGGAGATCCATTACGCCACTCCTCATATTGAGGTAAATGACGCTGCAGATCATCCCAGTGGTAATCGGCGGCCGACAGCGTTAAAAAGATGTCGGGAGACCTGATCCATTGCACGGTAGCTTCAAGTTGCTTGCCACGCCCAATCCAATAGGGCCGCGTGCCGCGTGCCGCGTAGACTCCCCGAAAAACGGATAATAGAGTTCAGCAAGGCCTGGGCTTCAGGAGAGTCATCCGCAAAAGCAGCACAGAGCTCCTCAAGAGATAGATTACGTTGCTCAGGACGTTGATGAACGAAGTAAGATGCACGGGTATTGACCTGCTTCCGGAAAAGAGTGTTGAAAGGGACATACCGTAGGCGCGGATGCTTTGCAAAACGACCATCGTGGAACCTCATCAGATGCTTGATATATTCACGATACTCTACCTTCCGGAGACGGGGATGAACAAAGTCCCCAACACCGCAGGGGAAGCAGCTTGGGAACGCCAGGCTTAGAAGAGCCTGAGAGTGGTTAAACTCAGATAGAGGAGTCAATCTAAACTCAGGCATCGTCAGATGCTCACTTCGACGTTCCTGAGCATCATCGACATGCTGCCGAAGTCGCTCCATCTCCGTATGGGGCTGAAGGAGATCCGGGACTACAGCGACGTATTCTGCCTCTTCTCCTGTATCGTCATCGCCGCCTCCTAGCTCTTCTTCCTCAATAGTCTGGACGCCGACCTCTTCCATAATACTATCATCAATAGGAAGATGCTGCAGGCGGCTATGGTCGACGACGACATCGCGATATCCAGGGTGGTGAACCTTGAGATGGGTTAGCCACTGCTCGATGACAGTACGGCGAACACGGTAGTCCCGTCGAAACTGGCGCTGCATACGGGGATCCTGATCCCAATTCGCAGGGCGAAGGACAACGATCTCAAGGTCTTTCGGAAGGAGAGGTAGTCGATTGTATACGCGCCCCACGTCTCGCATGAAGTTGATGATATGCCCTGTATAACGGTACTGAAGACCGTTAACCTTTCGAACCTCCACAGCACAATGGACACGGGCGATGAGGAGCCCCTCTACTTGAGATAACTCAGGAAGACCGTAATGCGACGGGCCTAGACCAGGATTTAAATGATTCTCTGCGGAATACAGCGGTGGTAAATCGCCACGTTTCCGATCGTCGATCCTGCATCGATGACATATACTACCACCCATGAGACGCATATCAAACCATTTTTCGTCACACCGAGTGCAGTGTTCAAGGCATAGTTTGGCCATCTCCTTGTGGAAGTCCTTGACGTAGGTCCAATCCTGCTCGGAAAGATTGGCGTCCTGGATGTTGAAGTCGCGGGACTGGGGATCGAGGCGAACATCTCCGCGCTGAAGTGCTTCTGTTCGATCATCATCTTGCTGTTGACGTGTATGATCGCGTTGCTCATCTCTCCGTTGACGTGTACGATCGCGTTGCTCCTCTATCCGTTGTCGTGTACGTGGTTGCTCATCGCCATGAATTTGGGATAACCCGGCCAAGGAGATCGGACTTATATGCCTAAACCTGTTGTCGCCATCATCATGAGCACCTTGACTAGATTGCGGTTGATGTAAAAGTGGTAGCCTCTGTCCCCGGAGATAATCTTCGAATATTGGTAGCGGCTGGACATGACGGTGTACACGAGTAGCAGCACGATGAGCCCGTGACATAGCGTTATACTCTCTGCGAGCAGCGGCTCTATCCTCATCGTCCTGGCTATGTATCCCGGCACGGTGGAATAGGGAAGTCTCCCGCCTCCAAGACCTATCGTCCTCAATGTCGGTTTGTTGCGAGGATGAGGCATCTCGTGTAGACATAATGGCGGGTTGAAGATGGGGGGACTAATGATGTCAGCTTCAACGTATTGGAATCATTCACTCTACCTACAGCGTCACCATGATCGTGACCATAACGACATCACCAGCAAGTCTTGACTAGTAGTCGGCGACATTTTGAAGTAAACTCCTTATCAACCCTCCAGGACCGGCAGTTCGCGCATACGCTACCACCAGGGTCTCCAGAAGATGACATGCCGGAGGTGTAATAATAGAGTGATTGATTCATTCACACACACATCAACAATAGAGTGATCAATTGGAGGAATTCAATCACGTGATTTACATTCACGTGATTTAAGTTCGCTTAGCAAATCTAATCCCTGTCCAGCCAATCAGAAGGCGAATATCGAGAATGATTGGATGAGATTGATTCTACCACGACCACTTAAGTAACTCGCTACGCTCGTGATTATATCTATTTAACGTCTGTTTCGGTTCCTATTGGTCCGTGCAGGCTGCATCTCTGCAATGCAGCAATGGAGGATAAAAGACCCAGTAGCGCCGGGCGCGTCCGATCCTCCAACCAGCCTTATCCACAAAGTGCAATCAGGTTTCAAGCCCTCAATTAGTTCGGGATCTGGATTTGGACCCCACCGAGGGTCCAAATCTGGCTCACTTCAACACTGCATTTGTGTCGTCTCCACATGCATAAGAGTTAGAGGTAGAATTTAGAAACGTGGCTATCACGCATACAGTCGCGAGCAGAATCGGTTTCCGGTTTGCACTCTTATTATTTGTTCTTTCCGCACGGTCCATATGACAAGGGTGATTCGTACTCTGTCCTAGCGGATTGCAAGGATAGCTGCGTATATATTAGTTCTTTGCATTACATAATAGTACGCCGTGATGGGAAGCTCTACACCTATAACTCAGGTAATTAGTAAATGCTGGGTTCTAACTCAAGAGGAAATAGTAGGTATCTATTTCTGTTTAACTGATAAATATTAACCGTTCTCAAGGAAAATCACTACCCTCTACCAGTGAAAAGGTCGTCAGCAGATCAACTTCAACCTGATACCTCAAGTGCAATGGGATTATAAGAGCAGACAATGAACGAACCACAAAATAACGACGAATAGGGGCGTTGCTAAGAAGTTGTAGCTTTGATAGAGAAATGGTAATCCTATTCCAACGCGTCGCCGCTGTATCATGTTCCAAGGGAGGAGTGATTCAATATCCTGGAAGAGATCTGGAGTCGCGCAATGAAGCTAGAAACCATTATCGCGACAGAATCACGATTTTCTCACTAGCATAGATCGATGAAAGTGCTTGAATTGTGTATAGTGATAGAATTGAGTCGGTTTTACAACTATCTTGAATCTATGCTCAAAAGGAGTCATCTGAATCAAAGGAATCGTAATAGTCACCAGATTCCTCATCAGGGGTTGTATCCGCGTCAGGATCGTTAATCCCCTTGTCTTGCCATTGATTTAAGCCCGCTCTTTGCTTCGGTGAGAGCCTGAATCGCGCCTCGTATGCAGCTCGAACCATTTGTCTTGTGGTGTATTTGAAAGTCCGTAAGTGTGAGACGACGAATTGCACCGCATTGAATAGCTGGTTCCTATTTTTCATTTCGTCCTCGAGTTGACCTACCAACAACAAATACAAGAGTTGGAAACCCGCATCGCGTGCCAATCGCATGTTCCCTTTCACTGGCTCATCGTAACTGTAATCTGTTCTCCCAACTTTAAGATTGGAGATTATCTCGTTCAAAGATAAACCATCCAGAACATCAACATTGAGAAACTTGTACGTCTCGCAAAGAGTCCGGTATTGAGAAACCTCGGGAGGGAGAGATCGAAAGCAAGAGCGATAGCCTGATTCAGTTCCTTTGACGGCTATATCGAAGAGAGGTATTCCGTGGTGAACAAGCTCGGTTGAGTTTGGATCAGATGCCTTTTGAAGTCGAACGAAGGATGCCAGATACTGAATTTTGGAAACATCAAGACTGTAAACTACTCCCCCAATCCTAATTTTAGTTTTGCTGGCTTCTTTATTACTTTCGGGTTCCAATGACTTTCCTGTTAGCTTTCTGGACGTCGGCACTTTTAAAGTAAACTTACCTGAGATAAACTTGTTTGAGCAGTCTTAGCTTCTGATGGACCGACATTACTAGCATCAAGATTGGGTTGGGGATCGTCCCATTTCAAATACAAGTCCTCAGGCAACATCTTTTTCTCATCCATCTTAGAGACCACCAACCTATCTCTCAAGGCATCATACCTCAGAACTCCCTGACCACCAACTGCCTTCACCGCATCAATGATTCTCCGAATCAATACAGCCAGTTTCCTCAGGTGGCCTTGGTTTTGTTGCTCCCAACTCTTGATTTGAACTGTCACGTCTTCAACGTCCGGTCTCTCAAAGATGCCGTTCCGATGATAGGCTCGTACAAGCTTCGGGGTTTGTGATACCCAAAGCTGAGGTGCAACTTCTTGAATCGTAAGAGGTTTATGAGCCACGCGGGTTTTGATCTCAAGGGTTGATTCAAGAGGCACTGCTTGGCCCGTTTCTTTAACAATCAGATTGGTCTTAACAGGCCTGTTATTTGCTGTAGACAGGACCAAAGATCCCAAGGCACTGGAGAGACTATCAATTCCTTGCTCCTTCCTCGTTGCGGAGAATGTTGTTGTTCGAGTGCCCACATATCCATCCGTTTCGTGGCGGATGATGACGTTCAGATCGCTAAAACGGTATGAGATAATTCGGTGATGTCCAGTACTGCCGCTGACCTGGCTAGTAGTATACGCCTTCTCGAATTCATGACCATACCCTCTGAATTTATGCGGTCCGATAAACTCATAGGTTGCGGTCTCATCACGACAGAATATTGCGGTGTCCTTTACAATCTCGACTTTGATGGTGAAGGCTTCAATTCCACCTGGACCAGAAGAAACGAACGACAGAAGTTTACGAATGTTGTTGCGGTCAGATACAACATCAATTGAGCAGATGTCAAATGAAGGGCTGGTCATGTACAGTGAGCGGAAAAGTGGCTCAAGCGGGCTATCTGGATGTCGAGCCGCATTTTGCGCAATATAGATGAGGCCGGAGTCCTTGTTCAACTGTCGTGTAGCTCTTGGAACTGACCAAAGTGCTGGGCTGCCTGGAACGGCGATGGTAGGTGTAGATTTGGGTGCCTCAATCCAGTTATAGGAAGAAATATGCTTGACATCAGTGATGGAAGCTGAAAGTGTGCTGGGTGCTTGGAGATCTAGGCGAGAGATCTCGGTTTCGATAGTATTGGATGCCATTGAAGAAGCTGGACATCAATTTGAAAGGTGGAAAAGCGAAGAAAGGTTTAAACCTGGGGGAAACCTCACGGTGTGATATCCATGGTTTCGAGCAATAAATAATCCTTGCTGAGTAGCTAACAGCAGACAGATAGGCCCAGCATGCGCGATTTTTGATTGCCATTTGTTGCACTGTGACCCATTGTAAGAATCCAAATGCGTCCAGCCGCATCTATTCATCCTGAGAATGTTGCGCAGGCAGATATAGCAAGGCTGACAACTTGCGGCACAGCACATTCATTTAGCAAATCAACGTTGGACATGACCCTTCTTGACATGTGTCATGTCTACCGACCAGTTCTCGCTGGAGGAATCTGCCAGCAGTCTCAGAGATGTGGTTTGCTCGATGGTTACACAAACGCTACGTGTACAGCATTCTGTGGACTAGTATCGGAAAGGTTGGGCGTTGCTACCCTTTCTTTATATATTATCGAAGGGGATGAGGAAGGACGATTAGACAAAATGACAGTTCATTTACTCTCTCATTCCTTTGAACACGATTCATTGCTCTAGAATCATCACACCCAACTTTCAAAAGTGAACAGCGGATGTCACTGTGTCTATATTCACGATGGATATTGATAATATGGCGGAGCAACATACTCGGCTGATAAGCACTCAGAAACAAACTTTACAGAGAGCCAAAGCGCGTCAGGGCCAGCGACCTCGCGTTCGAAAGTCCAGACAGGATGCCTACGCAAAATTCATGCTTCCTCTCATGCTAGGAACACCCAAAGAAGACGGCCAGATGATTCACTCGTCCTTTATTCCCCCAGCTTATCATCCGTGCAGTACGCCGGTAGCCCAGTTACAGCGCATCGTGATTAGAGAGCTCCAGCTAGAGACACACCATCGAGGCACGTATCTCTTGCTACGGTCCATCACACCGCCTCGTCGCATGACCGCGATTATGGCACTCGTGGAGGATGAAGAAGGCGATGCCATGATGCTGCAGTTATACCAACTAGAAGACGAGAGCACCCGTAAGGCAGCCGATATGGTCAGCGTTGGTACCATCCTGTTGTTGAAGGAGCCATACTACAAGGTTATGGCCGACGGCGAGTATGGTCTCCGTGTTGATCATCTCTCAGATGTGGCGTACCTTGATATGGATGACACCAGAATCCCGGAGGTGTGGCGGCCTCGAATGATGGGACTACAGCAAACAGCCGAGTCGTTGAAGATCAGGGGTAATCTGGCTATGGGCGAAAAGAGATATTGGGATGCGAGTACAGAGTAAGCGTACCACGTTAAGAGTAGAATCGACGGCCGCATATCTGAACATGTGGACAACTGTAGTGTGGTATACAACAATAGAGCGCAATTAGATCAATCATACCATATCGACTTATGGAGGGCTCTCAAATGAATTAGAATGAAAATGAGCCGCAGTTCTCAAAACAGAGTGTACCTCAACCAAGGTTTATTGGTGACTAGATAATATTACTGAATGGAAGTTGAAGCATAGCATGGGAAATCATGGACAAGCGGTGGCTGTGGCTGACTAGTCATCAATCTATCAGCCCGATGAGATGTCGTTGATGTGGCGGTGCTTGTCCTGAGTGGAGACCACTCCGCAACTAGAAGTCGGAGGTCCGCAATGTTTGGTGACGATTGACGAGGAACAAAGGAAACCACTTCTTCTCGTACTGATTCTCTAATGAGTGTGAGGGCCTTGGAATCAAGAGTCCATAAATCGCATTGCCTTTGCGCTTGAAGCTACCTCATAACCTAGTTTGGGACGCCATGCCGCAGCATCACCGATCTCTCCCGCTTGCATGCTCCACATCCACCGAAGATGGTGAGCAGCATATCAGATGGCCAGCTTCCGACGCCCGGTCTCTCTCCAGAAACACGTTCTTCCAGCATAGATAGACAGCCGAAGGATGCTTTTCAAACCCTTGAATTCCAATCTCTAGGTGGCATCTCGGAAGACAGCGGCACCGCGACACCGAATACGACATACGTTGCGGAAAGTATATTAAGCCCAACCGGGGATCCCAAAGATGCCAGATATGGTTCACATCGATCGTCAGTCTCGGATAACCGTCACCGAAGTAGCTCCGGCAAAGAGAGGGACAGAATCCTGAAACTGTCACCGGCACAATTAAAGCAACTGACGACGTCCCCAACGGCTGTTCCCCTTCGCGCGGCAACACCCATCTCGGGATCGGAAGATATCTTTGCGCTGGACGACTCTCCAACGAAAGCGGAGCCCGGAAGCTCTGGGAGAGATGATGAGCGACATGCGCCGAATAACATGGACCCCGAAGCGATCCCTACGAACGGAATTTCTCTTGCCAACGGATCGGGGGGAGACAAGAAGGCCAACAATGGTTCTGCGGACAGGAGCAAGGATATGGTAGATCCCAGAGATGGGGAAATATCAGACGCAAAGAAGCAGACGAAACCTCCACGCTCGTCACGCACCTGCTCGACTCCACCCGCCTGCAGCAGGAAGCAGTCAGGATTTCGACCTCATGGACAGCACAGGGAGAGTCTCTCTAAGACGAGGTCGCAAAACCACGTCCCACCTTCGTTGAATTTGAAAGATAGCAGCAGGGTCCGGTCCGATCAAGCCTCCGGTGGATTGCGTACTCCTTCATCAAGCCTCGACCCGATTCCATCCCCTCTACATTCCGCTCTTCCACTGCCTCCGGTGTCCATGCCGACATACCTTCAACTCGAACTCTCTTCAGAGAAACCATCACCCCTATACATCCACAGGTCACCGGCTACTGACTTTCCATACGAATCTTCTTCTGTCAAGTTCCAGCGACTTGTGAACTTCCTGCTCCTGCCTCCGAATTTCGAGCAGGTTATGTGGTTTGGGACCCTGGCGTGCCTCGACGCATGGCTGTACAATTTCACAATCCTTCCACTTCGTTTCATCCGGGCAGTATGGATTCTCACCGTTTCGTTGATTCACAATGCCTGGAGGCAAGTTAGGGATCTTGGAAGGTTCATCTACAACGGCCTGGGAAGAATGTGGAACCGCTACAGGCACGGATTACGACCAAGCTCAACCGTGAAACCCAACGGATCTGCCACGTCTGTGGCTACCAAGCAAGAAGCCAGCGCCTCAGACTCGGCTCCCCAGAGAACCGTGTCCAGGGGCCGCGAACGCTCGCAAATGCAATTGCAGGAAGACCAGAAACGAATTGACCGTCACTTGCGCCGGCGGCACCGGCGGGCTCGATCCATGCCTTCTAAGCTCCTTCCATCCCACAAAGCGGACATTCTGAAGGGTCTGCTGATTTTCGTTAGCTGTGTCGTTCTACTGAGATTCGATGCAAGCCGGATGTACCATGGCATCCGTGGGCAGGCGGCAATGAAGCTATATGTGATCTTCAATGTGCTTGAAATTGCAGATCGACTACTTTCCGCCATCGGGCAAGATGTCATTGAATGTCTACTCTCGCAAGAAACCCTTGAGCGGGACAGTTACGGCAGAAGCAAGCTCATTCGACCGTTCTTCATGTTCTTGTTGGCATTGTTGTACAACATCACGCACGCTACCGCGCTATTCTACCAGGTCATCACGCTCAATGTTGCGGTCAACTCATATTCCAACGCACTTCTAACCCTATTAATGTCGAACCAGTTCGTCGAGATTAAAGGCACCGTTTTCAAGAAGCTGGAAAAGGAGAACTTATTCCAGATGACCTGCGCTGACGTCGTGGAGCGATTCCAGCTGTGGCTCATGATGATCATCATCGCGATGCGGAACATCGTTGAGCTTGGAGATTTCACCATCGGCCTGCCCGCTATGATGAGCAGCACCACCAGCAGCCCCACCGTGAATACCACCACTACACCCTCTAGCAGCTCCACAATCCTCCCCATGAGCTTCACCATCCTTCCGAAATGGACGGGACAATTCCTCGGTCCGTTCGTACTCGTACTCGGCAGCGAAATGGTGGTCGACTGGATCAAGCATGCCTACATCAACAAGTTCAACAACACCCGCCCCGAAGTCTACGGCCGATTCCTCGACGTCCTCGCCAAAGATTACTACTCCAACGCCTTCGCCTCGCAGAACCTCACGAAACGCCTCGGCCTCCCCGTCATCCCCCTCGCATGCCTCTTCATCCGCTCCTCCCTGCAAACATACCACATGTTCCTCGCCACCCACATGCCACTTCCCATCCCTTCCCCCGTGTCCTCCATCGCACTCGGCGCCGAGACGACGTCCACCCCCGCTCCCATCCCCATCCTCATCCACCTCGACCGCATTTTCCGACGCGCACTCGGCCGCTCGGCGTTCGGCGCCGGCGCCGGCAACGGTGGGATGACGGAGCCGCTCGAGGGCTGGAGTACGTGGGTGGTCGACGACGTGATCGCGCTCACGACGCTCGCGATGGTGGTGCTGGTGTGCTGGCTCCTCCTCCTCGCCATGAAGCTGCTGCTGGGGATGGCGCTGCTGACATTTTCGCGGAACCGGTATCACGGGATGAAAGAGCGAGAGCGGCAGTCGTACACGTATGTGGGAGGGAAGCGGGCAGGGGGGTGGGGGATGGTGGAGGTGGATGATGACAAGAGAAGGAGGATTTATGAGGGGGATGAGGCGGGGTTGAAGAAGAGTAGGGAGCGGGCGAAGGAGACGGAGCAGGGGGGGAGGGATCTGGATAAGGGGAGCAAAGGGCTGGATGGCGTGGACAGGTATGCGATGGTTGCGAAGAGGATTTGGTAGCCGTAGATTCCTGACACCACTCGTGTCGTCGTTGTCTGATACTGCATTGTGCCGGCGTTGGTGGGTGGGATGATTAGAGTCATATTCATCGGTGAAAGGGATTGTAGCACTTCTTTACAGAGTGGTTTGAGGCCACGATGTTAACTATCGCAGTTATTCAATTACTGTATTCTATAACCTTCCGACCTTGACACTGTGAACTTGTCTAAGCCGCTATATGACCCAGAATTCGTGGCAAACTCCGCGCCCCACGCTGTCGAATACAACGAACAATACAGGCCTTGCGGCACGTCGTTCATGGAGAGAATATATGAATTGAAGAAAGTCTAGGTGTTTGTCAGTCCGGGCTGAATAGCGCGAGCGTGTCAAAGCCACTTACACATCCACTCTTGCCTCCACAGGCGGCAGCGCATTGGCCTGGCGAGTCGGTGCCGCCTTGGCTGAACTTGTAGAACGTGTATCCGAGATATGTAGAGGCGTCTGGCGCAACTATGGCAGCGGGAAGTTGCTCAGGGGCGCCGTCCCCTGCACTCGACTGCGGAGCCGCGACTTTGTTATATCCTGGCGATGTCTGTCAGCTTGTGCTGTCGGTCGCCCTGATTGATTGTCTATACCGTTTGAGCCTGTTACAACAACACTGAAGCCATAAGCCATTGTGACCGCATCCGTGGCTAGGTCGCTTGTGATGGAGCTACTAAAAATCGTACACTATTCCACGGTCAGTCCCGGGACCCGGCCAGTTTCCTAAAGATGTGGTCACGGTACCTTGAAGTTCGTGATGCTAGGAGGATTGCTGCAATCGCCGTCATCCGGGACTGCCGAGGGGTTACGTTCGATGAAGACGTTAAACCCTAAGCACCCCTCGCTCTGATTGCAGAGTTCCGCGCACACCACCGGATCATATTGCTGGAGGATATGGACAGCTTGGAAACTATCGGTCGAAACAAATGCTTGTAGTCCAGAGAATGCGGATCGATAGCCATCGGGAGTGAGAGCAGCAGCGGACAGAGCCTGAAGTCCAGCGTTAGTCGATCTTTCCGATTTGGAGGCAGTACCATTCGCAGAGCCTGCACCTTTAGTCCCTGGCTGTTAAGAAACGCTTCCGGTGTATCAGGGGATATCGTTGGACCGGATCCAGAGAACAATGGTGCGCATTCATCGTGGCGGACCTGGTGAACCTGTTTAGTTCCATCCGCTTCGGCCAAACCGCCTACTGCCAACGACGCAACTGCAGACGCAAGAACCGAAAACCGCATGTTTATGAGTAAGTATACTGGGGCGTGGGGCTGAATAATAAAGAGTGACTGCGCCCAATGGCTATAAACCCATGATTGACTTCAAGACATCGTCTTTACAGGCAACATGTAGACGGAGAGAAGACTTGGAGGAATGGAAAACACACGATAGAGGACTTGGACCGGCAAAAGAAGGTTCCGCCACCGCGCAACACCATCATAACTTCATAAGAGTTAGCACGCAGCGGACTGCCAAACACAGACGCACTACCAGATTTGGCATGCATAAACTGGTATACCGTCCAATCAGCAACTATCGTCCATCGTTATTTGCAATCTCGGCAGTGGAGGGGACTACATTTGGGGTAGCGTGACGCCAGAAGCGAAGCTGGGGAGAGACCACGGACTGGACTCCAGAAGTCTGGGCCTCCCTGTTGACCGTTGACATTATTGACCTCTGATCCTCTCCCGCTTCTGGTTGTCCTCACCTCCTGCAGCCTGGCCTTATCGGATTTGTGGGCAAATATGGATTAGTTCCTAAACCACAGGGAGAGGGGGAGAGCCATGTGGAAATTGTGGTTGTTCGATAGAAGACGCCGAGGCCCACGTTGCAGGCGAGATGCTGGATGAGCAGGGGTATTGAAAATATGCGACTATGATTGGATAAGATGCCATGGTCCTTGCTCTCTTTTAAATTACTGGCCTACTGGGTCCCTGGAATGCGTTGGCCTCATCTGATGCTGCACGCTGCAGCTGCAATTCGGAGGACAACGGCATGGAACGATCAATCATCAACTTTGAAATGTGAACGCCCATCAGGCATCATGGCATTGTCGCTATTCGCCAGCGGCTCAGACTGCAATGGCATTCACTCTTCAGATAAGACTCATGGCAAGTTTGCTGTTCGAAGTCGAGGAGATTCATAAACCATGCCAGCTCCAGCCTTTAGGTGATAGGGGTATACCGTATACCGTAGTGATGAGTATTCTGTCCGATAAGATACGCTTCCAAACGGGCCTGGTAAATACCGATATCGCCTTCCCTTATTCATCTTTTATTGCGTATATAAATAACAGGTCATTATATTATATGGTCTAGTTGCAAGAGCATGGGAAAAATCCGATATGGAAGTCTGGAACGCCCTTTTCGAATCGCATTTCTACTTCCGCGCTGTCTCTCTCCCCCATTCTTTCTCAAACCCAGTATATAGGAGAAGAACTCCGTAATCAAGTTTCCGTCGATCTATATAGTTGGAGAAGGGAAAATCGTGTATGCTACGAACCCAAATGATGTCCTATGGATGCAGTTGGTATTGGTGACTGTCTTTCTACCTCAGGATGAATAGGTCTCCAGACTAGCAACTAAAGCCGCTGCGCTTCCTTCGTGAGATAATATTGACTCTTGGCCGTCTCTTCTCATACATCTAATTGCCGGTCCATGTGGTATAATATTCCCATTTTCCTTCGTTGGTTATCGCAGCAGCAATTACACCAGAGATATATAGATTTAGTATGAATAAGACGACGGCAAGCTTGGTTCATTGGGAACATCGTAGATGATTGGTATTCAGTTTTGTCAGTCGTTTTACATTCTATTCAATCTTCCGATCGATTCTTTCCATTGGGAGTCCGTCTTGCACTTATTTATGACATGATAGTTTCTCGGGGCCATGCTGGAATCTGCCCCTACCTACACACAGGAATTAGTACTGTACCTGTCGGCACTTGGTGTGGGAAAATAACCGTTCAGTAAAGAGGACCTTCGGGAGAGTGGATGTCAGAGGATTACGCATCCCACAACGAACTGCAGCGATTGAGCAGGTCGAGACTACAAACGGAACGAACGGGGAAACATTCTGATACGGAATTCGCCGCAAGAGATGGAAGACTGAGGGCGATGCTCATGAAACTGTGGATGCATGTCATGACGCGAGGCAGAGGGTGCCAGGACAAGCTGAATTTCCTCGACTCCGAGTTGCTCTTATAGAATTCAACGTACGTATTTCGCAAGTAAGGGCTCTTTATCTAGGCGGCTGCGTGCAGGTAGGTTTGTCCCTTGAATTGATGCTCATTGAAGTGGACACGGGCGTCCAGCACGGGGCTCTTTGAGCGGTGAAGGTTCTGAATTCTGGAGATATCCGTAGAAGCCAAATTCCATGTGAATGTTTGGCCAGGTGGCCTCGATCTCTATTCAGCGAATGCAACAATTCATCATTGTGGGTCGTTTGTGAGAATACTGTAAATATGATGAATGCAATACTGTTCTCTCTCGGCTCCCTCTCTCTCCCTTTCTTCTTTCTTTATATACTGTATACAATCCCACTCAATCCCATTCAATTTCATAGCAGTATATTGTCAAACTTCAATCTCCCGCATTCATACCACCTGTCCCAGTTCACTCCAGAGCCTCACTCCTTCCCAAGAAAAATCAACGATACCAGTCCCATCACACCAAGATGACTGATTCCAGCAACTCAAGCGGCTATGAGAAGGCGTTTAAGGAACCCATTGTAGAATTGCGATGGTGTGAGTGCTGCGTCCGCCACGTCGCCGTCACTGCCTGGGCCTTCCACCTAAACACTCGCCTGCACGTAGAGAACGCAGCTAGGCGACCTTCTGCTCTGTCACTGGCACAGAACATTTCAGGGCTGTCGATCCGGATGGACGGGCCATCCGCAGCAGTGCCTGCACCAGTGCCGCCAGTGCCTGCACCAGCGCCAGCACCGACGCCAGTCCCAGCGTCGGCGTCTGCAGCCGCTCCTAGGACGGCCCTACCAATCGTGGCAACGCCCAATCCAACCACTGGACAAGAAAAAGCTACCAAAGCTGCTGGTTGGGGCGGGTACACCCACTCCGTCCTCCCGAAGACCAACGCCCATGTAGCACCTGCTAGACGAGCCGCCTATTTCGAGAACAAACCCATCGACGCCACTAGGCAGGAACATGTCGGCTATGGTGCCGCACCGCCATGGTCTGTTCGCCGCTTCGAAGGCAGTCAGCGTCGTGGCCGTGGCCGTGGCCGTGGCCGTGGCCGTGGCGATACGCGCTACGTCGGATACGCTGGAGCCATTACAGAGCCACGTTCGTGCTTCCTCTGTGGTAGCATGCAGCATATGTGCCGGTACTGTCCCATAAGCATGTGTTATGGGTGCAATCAACGTGAGTAAATCTCTTTGTGATCTGGTTAGGCGGAACACTTGATTGAATGACAACTAACAACAATTCAGGCGGCCATATGCGAGAAGACTGCCCGAACCTGCCAAGTCGGGCACGCCGAGGAGGGTCTTGCTGTAAGTATCAAATTCGCATATTATGAAAGTATGAAATGTTTTACTGAAAGCAATCATAGATGGACAATCCTCGGCTATGGCTAGCACTCGTCAGTCAATGCCTCACGACAAAGACGCCCGACCAGGAGGCCTCGACTCCTTCCAGAACCTCCCTGAACCTGTGAGCCCATCATCGAGTACCTGGAGGCTGACTCCGGCCCCGGGACTCCTTCCCAAGCCACTCCGGGTCGAGCCGATCAGCTATCCAGGCTCACGGACCACTGCCGAGGCGATCACGACTGCCGTACCCAAGCCGCAGCAAGCTCACAGCCGATTTGAGGAGGACCTCATCGACTTCGGCGATGAGGACACTCCGGACACCGGTGTTGCTGCTTTGAGTGCCGGGGGTCAAGTCACTCCGGTGGTGGAAGGGGAGAACCTGCTCATGGGCTAGCACGGTGATGGGGGGTGGGTGGAGTAAGGGTATTCCTTGGGGTGGGGGCAGATATGTGTGCTTGGGGAAAAAGAAACATGGCGGGGGAGAGGGATTCATGAGGGAAAATGGACGAATAACTGCGACTTGTCAAAGCATCAAAGTCGGCCACTGCAAGCATACACGATATTCACATAAATGCTCGCCAACGCGATATCAAGGCTCAAAATCAGGTCTTACATAGAGGGTTAGCTGACACTGTTTTCACATAAACACCTGCAATGCGGGCATCCTGATGTACAATATAACGACATAGGAGAGGTATATCTCCCTTTGGTGCAAAAGTACATGAAAAGCATGGGATAGGTTCTTTCTTTCATTTAGTGCGAGCGTACACGAAAAGCATGGCAAAAGCAACTATTTCGGCAATTGCAGTGGTGGCACTTGCCTTCATTTCCTAAAATAAAATGAATGGACATGTCATCCGTGGATGGTTAAAGGAACCAAGGATTCCCTGCGCCTCGCTATGCGGTGATGTTGAATAAATTGGTGTGCTGCGTGGCTCCACGCTGCAACCCACTGGTGCGTGAAATCGCCTTTAGCTTGACTAGAAGAGCCCATCAATCTCACCAGTCTCGGGATCGACGTCGACGTTCAAATAGCCTGGGGCAGTTGGCAAGCCGGGGATGGTTTGAATGTCTGCAGCAAGAGCATACCTACGCACAAGTTAGTCCAGACTGCTTCTCAACCTCGCGTTCGAGTCGACTCGGGGACTTACAGATATCCGGCACCCGCTGCCATCCGCACATCTCGAATCGGCACTGTAAACCCTTCCGGTGCACCTTTTAAAGCTGGGTCATGGCTGAGCGAATACTGCGTCTTCGCCACGCAAATGGGCAGGTTCCCGAAACCTTGCTTCTGATACATATCGACCTTCTTCTGTGCGAGTTCGGAAAACTCTACTGCCGAGGCGCCGTAGAATGACTTCGCAATCTTGTCGATGCGCTCTTGGACGGTGCCTTCCAAGTCGTATAGGAGTTTGAAGTCAGGCTTCGGCTTCTCGGCAGCTTTCAGGATACCATGAGCAAGGTCCACAGCGCCCGCTCCGCCGTCTGCGAAATGCGTCGCGGGGATGGCATCGTCTGCACCAGCAGCGAGAGCTTCTTCGCGCACAACGGCAATTTCAGCGTCCGTGTCGGTGTGGAAGCGGTTGATGGCAACAACAACTGGGACGCCGAAGGATTTAGCGTTGGCGATGTGTTTATTGAGGTTGACGCATCCTTTACGAAGCAGGTCGATGTTTTCGGTGCGGTACACCTCTTGTAGTTGAGCGCCCGGGGTGATATCCGGACCGCCACCATGAACTTTGAGGGCACGAACGGTGGCGACCACAACAACTGTGTCAGGGACAAGACCAGAGGAACGGCATTTGATGTTGAAGAAACGCTCGCCACCCATGGTGAAGTCGAATCCGGCCTCGGTGATGACCACGCCGGTCTTCTTGTTGTGATCTTCACCGGGTTCGGTACCGGCAAGTTTCAGGGCCAGTTTGTCGGCAAGGATGGACGAGGCACCGATCGAAATATTGGCGAAGGGACCGGCATGCACGAAGACGGGCGTGCCTTCGAGCGTCTGCATGAGATTTGGCTTGATGGCATCCTTCATGAGCGCGGTGAGCGCTCCCCCTGCGCCGAGATCATCGCAAGTGACGGGATCACCGCTTCTTGAGCTGGCAACAACCATTTTGCCTAGACGTTCCCGCATATCCGCGAGCGAGTTGCTAAGAGCCAGCACGGCCATGCACTCGCTGGCGACCGAGATGTCAAATCCGGTCACGCGTGTTTGGCCCTTCTCAGTGCCTGCTTGACCGACCGTGATCCCTCGAAGGTGGCGGTCGTTGACGTCGAGCACTCGTCGCCAAGTGATGGTATCAGGGTCAATGTCAAGGCGAGCAAACTTCCTAATCTCTTCTTCTGTGAGCTCATCCGGGTTCGTCTTGTCAATCCCAAGCTTCTTGAGCCTCCGGAACATGATAGGCACAAATTGCCGTTTCCCACCCTTGGTAGGGACCAATCGACGGTATAGGGCAGCATCTTTCTGCGAGTTCTCATGGAACATCCTTGTTTCGATCGCTGCTGCAAGGAGGTTGTTGGCAGCCGTGATGGCATGGATATCTCCGGTTAGATGCAGATTGAACTCGTCCATCGGGATGACTTGACTGTATCCTCCGCCAGCGGCACCACCTTTGATTCCGAAGGTTGGACCTTGACTCGGCTGTCGAACATTTGCAAAGCAAATTCGGTCGAGGTGGCCGGCGATGGCTTGACTGAGACCCATAGTGGTCGTGGACTTTCCCTCGCCAAGCGGGGTTGGGGTGATTCCAGTTACGACGATATATCTACCGTTTCTTCTATGCTCCAGTCTTTTGAGAATATTGAGGTCAACTTTGGCCTTGAAAGCGCCATATGGCTCGAGTTCATGAGGTGCGATCCCTACTTCCTTTGCCACTAGACCGATGAGTTTAGGTATTTGGGACCGCGATATCGCAATATCCGATGGAATGGGGCGTTCCAACTTGAGTGGCAAGGGGGTAATGTGCCTCTGATGCTGTCTTTCGAAGTATGCATCGGCTGCATCGACAACGTTCTGAAGGAGCATGGCCACAGTCATTGGTCCCACACCACCAGGGACGGGCGTGATAGCCGAAACCACTTGTGAAGCGCTCTCAAAGTCAACGTCTCCGACAAGTCGCTGGCCGGACTTCTTGGTCGAGTCGGGAATGTAATTCGTGCCAACGTCAATGACTACGGCGCCCGGCTTCAGCCATTCACCCTGAACAAAACCCGGTTTCCCGATGGCGGCAACCAGGATATCGGCTCGCTTGATGATCTCCGGTAGGTTCTGGGTTTGAGAATGGCATACAGTCACGGTCGCATCGGCGGATTTGAGGAGGTAGCTCACGGGGCTGCCGACGATATCGCTGCGCCCTAGGACGACCGCATCCTTGCCTGCCAGTTCCACACCGGCTTCCTTTAGGAGCACCATGACACCTTTCGGCGTGCACGGCGTGAACAGAGGCGTTCCGCCCCGCTTCGCCAATTCTCCCACGTTCGCAACTCCAAAACCGTCGACATCTTTCTCGTCAGCGACGTAGGAGGTGACCGTATGCTCAGAGATGTGTTTCGGTAAGGGCAACTGGACGAGAATGCCGTGGACAGTGGTTTCGTTGTTGAACTTCGTGATTTGCTGAAGCAGCTCTGCCTCTGAGATGGTCTCGGGATACTTCTCCAAGCTACAAACAATATTCGCCTAAATACTGGTAAGTGATCGGAATAGATTCCCAAAATTCGGATCATATACCTCCTCTGCAGCTTTCAATTTCATGCGAACATAGGTGCTTGAGTCCGCACGGTCACCGACCTGGACAATCACCAACGAAGGATTATATCTCGGGTTTTCATCCTGCTTCCTTCGGATTTCAGCACCCAAGCCTTCTCGGATTCCCTTCGCAATAGCGGTGCCGTCAATCTTAGTAGCTGCCATTTTCTCAGACGCCGACCACAATGATCTCACTGATGGTGAAGCAATTGAGGGGAGGTTGACGGGACGAGAGGGACAGCCGGTAAGCGGAGGGGTTCGAACAGATGGAACGATAGTAGCTTTTGCAAGCACATGCAACCCTGCACCACGCAAGAGAGCTTTCGGCGGTTTTCCCCGCAGTGAATAGGAACGAGATACCGCTTTCGCTCTGCAGATCGCTAGCATCGTGTCAACAGACCGGGAAATGGAAGTGCAGGCGATAGCGCCCCGATTGTGAGCAATTGAATTCCAAGAGCCATTGTTTCTCAGCCCTTTTGCATTTTGTACATTTCGCACATCGCAGTGAGTCAACAGTGGACACTGGATCGTGGTACAGTTAGCGGGCTGGTCTCGTCTGGTCCGTCTAGCTCTGGTAAATTTTCGTGCTGGAACCACAGAGCGGAGATGGTCTGCTTTCCGCTCCTCATGGGCGGATCCGCTTGTTTCGTGGAATGTGTCCGATGGCGGAGCGGAATTATTCACGGGACCTGTCCACCGCCAGTCCACATTCCACATTACCTCAGCAAGCTCAGGCTATTTGTGGTCGTGCCAAGGCACCGGAGCGGACTATACCTAATCGGTAAGTCACATGTGCTCCTCGAACAAATAGCCTGAGGATTCTGTCCACCTATTTCGGCGTGTGCCGTGAACTTTCATGCCAAATAGAAGACCATCTTTAACTCCATTTTTATCCACAACCACATGGTGCATCATCAATTGAATACATCCATTCGATTCCTCTGGGCTTTTTCCATAATTGATTGAATTTTGGGCCATGTCGGCCCAAAACCAGCGTCGTCAGAGTGCGCGGTTGAACCCGCCCATCTTGCCTCCCGCTCCAAGTCCTCGGCATATTGCTGCTTCAAACACATCTAATGCACCTCGTCAGAAAGTAAGAAGGTCTCAAAGACGCAGTAAAGCGCAGAGAGTAAACGAGATATGCCAATTCATGCGGAAAAAAAAAATTACATTACGAGAATTTATCCATGTCTACGCGACGACTCAAGGGTCTGGTGGTTATGGAGAGCGCCCTGCCACGCGTGCCAAACGGCTCGCCGAGGCCGTCTACGGTCAACCAGAGGTCTTAGACGCGCTGCAAGAACACCCCGCGTCTGGTGCGACAGGAATTGTCACTGTAAAGGGTCTGAGGAAGGAAATGAAGGCACTGGAAGAAGCCGGAGGTATGTTTAGTGCCTACCAAGTCGACCGTGTCCAAGAGAGAACTTCACCTGCCGGCATGGGAAGGGAGAAAGAGCCAGAGGGACAGAAAGTCGAGGACTACGAGCGTATACTGGGCGATATGCAGTTTGGGCAGATGTACGAGCAAGTTAACACTCATGCTCCTCTTCTATGTGGATTGCTTAATGGCATCATGGCGCCCAAGAGAGAGAGAAAAGATCGATCACTACGGGACCCTGTCAAATTCAACCACAGGATTGCGATAATCACGTCGATTCTCTGCTATTCTCGGGCGTCGGAAGGGAGCAACAAGTTTCCCCGCGTATTTGGTGCCTTTCTGCACTCAAATGGCGTGAAACGGCGTATCCTCGATCTTCTTCACCAGTTTGGGGTTTGTGAAGGCTACAAGGGAGTCCACAGACATCTCGAAACCGTGGCAGAACAAGCAAAGGCATCTTCACCGCCTCTCAGCATAGACGTCGACTGATTGCAACTAGGGAACGGTCCGTCGATATGGTCAGCAACTAGATGCCTGTGTTGTGTATGACAATTTCGACTATCGAGAAGGTATTAAGCACCAGCTCATTTCAAATCATGCAGAAATGCGCTCTGTGACAACGGGAAAGGTTTTCAGAGGCGCCGATATCCCCTCTGGTGGTTTAAAGCAGTCAATGCTGCACCGCGAGGTTCCACTTACAATAGAGGATCTTCTATACTCTCCTGGTGCAGCAGTATATGACGAGACCGCCGCCAAGATTGATACCTACTTTATAGCGGAGGCAATTCGATCGGTATATCCACTCGCGATCAAATCTATCTTCTCTACGTCCGGTATACCTTACCCCGCTATGCCAACAGTCGAGTTACTCGAGCTTCGAAAGACAGACAGCAAGACGCTCGGTCCGATTCTCTTCAACGAAGGTACTCTAGATGGCTCCTACGAGGTTATAGAGAGCATCTACAAGCACCAATTCCAACTAGATAATAAAGAATTCGACAACCGTCTGTTCTTGGCGTTTGGCGATCAAAAAACCTCTTCACTTATCCGATCTATGCAGGCTGAGCAAGTCGACGCGTCTATGGCGTATGATAGAAAAGACTGGCTGATAGGAGTCGCTGCTCTCTTTCACCTGCGTATGAATTTTCTATGGCTTATGCAAAAGACACATTACGGAAACATGGAGCAACAGGACGCTTCAACTCTCTATCACAACATCAACTTCTGGGGACGAAAGAATATTCCAGCGGACCGTGCAGCTTTTCAGGTTCTAGAAGAGCTAGTGCTTCACAGTTTCGACGCTCGAGTTGTTGGACTACTTTATACTCGCCTCGAGCAGTACGGCATCGATATCTCCGATCAAGAGGGGGTTGACAAGGCAATTCGGAACATGGATACTAGAGGGTTCATGGAACTGGTGGAGGATGTTCGCAGATCCGCATTTGAGCCGGAAGCCTGGCGACCATCGAAGGAGAAGCATACCAACAATACAGTCGATGAGGAGTTCCTTAGTCATGCTCGATACCTTCAACAAATGGTTGTGTACAAGACCTTGAAGTACGGCATCAAAAACGGAGATATAGGACTCATCGACCGAGTCATTGGTGTCTGTTGCTTTTACTTCGAGGGGACTGGACAATCAAACTACGCATTCGAAATGCTCTATCTAAAGCGGCTCACTAGCACCAAAGCTTGTGACAAGGAGCTTCGGCGCGCAATACTCTCGAATAGCCTCGTTAACCCGCATGGCTGTCGGGACACCTGGCAAGAAGTCGATCGTAGCCTTGAATATCTGAACCTGGAGCTGAAAAGAGAGCTTTGGGCCCGTCGAACGTCGACTTTCGGATTGGATGCTCTGTTCAAGACTACCTCATTAACGGCAGAATATACTGTTTGTCTACGCAGGGCAGTAGAGGACGCATTCGCCCGGAAGGGCAACTCCACACATTCTGTGCCCTCCGCGATGGATGATATTCATACATTAGCCTTTGAGCTGGCATGCGACTCGATTAAATTTTATGACGGCGGCAGGGAGGCAAGACATCAAGCACCAGACATACATACGATCGGGCTCGGAAGAGTAGCAACTCAAAAATTGGAGGTGTTTAATGCAAAGGTCATAAGAGATGAAGATCGAATAGTCGTACCACCTTATGAGAGGAGAGGAGCCACGGCTGATTTAGATCCTAATAGCGACACGATGGCGATATTGGTATGCGCATGCTCATGGAGTTTCTAGTCTCGTGCTAACAGACGTCGCCAGCCCTTGGCAGACAGAGATGTAGCCCATGAATGGGGTTTACCTTCGGACGTCGAGTCAGAGTAACCTATCTATAATGTCCACTCGCTGTGGTTGTAGCGGCTATTATTCCCTTTCTTGTTGCGAGGGCTTCACCTTGCGTTAGAGTCTAGAACGCCGAGGACGACCCGTTTCGTTTCTACTTCCCCCCCCCGGGTTAATATGGGACGTTTCAAGGCCCGATTACCATCAATTACACCTGATACCTCATTCTCGCCGTCTTCGAGAACACCTGACCTAGCAGAAGAATAATCTACGTTTGTAGATGTCATCAACCTACCCATAGATGTAAATGACGAGTTCGCTGATACTATGGTCATTGGTAGGGTAGGTAGATGGGAAGAGCACGAGGCTGACACCTCCCTTGCCTGAGCAATGATCCGCTCTAGCGAGGAAACGTACTCTTCTCGCTCACGCGCGAGTAATACTCTTCGTTCCTGATCAGGAGTTATCAGAGTCTCTGCTTCTATAGACAATCTTCTCTTCCGACCTCTGTGTTGAGATACTTGCTGTTCGACTGTGGGATGAGCGTGTTCGAATGGCGCCCTTCGTATTGGAACTTGAGCTGCCGCTGCGGTTCCTGGTGTATAGCGTCCGGGCCAGTTCCTCACTACATAGGACTTGATTTTATTGAACTCTTCGAACAGCTTATGGGAATGGTCTTTCATCTAAGCCGATTTCGTAAACTTCTCTAACTCAGCAGCCGAGCGGATGTTCGTATACTCTCTCGATATTGATATCTACTCTTCCTTCGGCGCGAATAACCGTGCTGAGAGTTCTGGCTTCATCATCCGATGTGCCGAATTCACAACGTTATCTCCCCAGAGGGTCAGGCGGTTATAAAATGCGCCGGATGCCGTTCCAGTCTGGGGCTTACGAAGACCAGTTGTGGTATCCCATGGGAAAGGTACCGCCCGCGCCAGATCTGGGTTACAGACATTACAGCACTCCTGCGGTTCAGGAGCCGGTAACCTAGATGCTGGATCCGATAGACTCTCTTGTAGCCAATCCATTAGGATTCGGCGTAGGCATGCGGATCGATTAACAAGATTGAATAGCGCCGGACAGTCATCGTGTAGGTCTGTTCGGCGTTCTCTCTCCGTTTTGCGTCGGTGCTGCTCTCCTGGTATATCATATTTAATGGCGTCTACGGCAATATCCGATTCATCATCTAGGATGTCACCGCCCACTCCTGGATCAGCAGAGTACGACTGAGCTAACCGGCTCGTGTTGGAAGGCCGTCTTAAACACGACGGCGTCTGAGTTCTGGATAGAAGCGCCGGTCTTGTCGATAAGATCCTGTCACCTATCGCCCAACTTTCCACCAAGAAGATGGCCTCTCCTTTAATGCCAGCCATCCTAGCTGCACGGCCAAATCGTTGGATAAGGACGCATAAGAGTCGTTCCAGAGGGAAGCCGTATTGGACAACTCGTGTGACATCCGAGAGATCTACCCCCGTTCCTAATGATTCTGTGGCCACCATAATTCGGATCTTAGAGTCCGCTTTGGAAAACTGGTCGTATATAGCATTCTTGTCGTTTGGAGTAGTGTGTGAATGGTAGACCTGGATAATCTGCTTGCAGTCGTGGGCCCCGACGGCCCCAGCTGAGAGTTTCTGTAGCCAGCCTCGCAGACATTCCGCACATTTTTGGATATCACGTCGGGAGTCTATAAAGATTATAGTCTTCGGAATTCGTTCCGGCGTTGGCGAGCCGTTT